CTGGCCGCCGAGACATGAAATATTCTGGAACAAGTCGCGGCGAGTGACGGAGTGGAAAGTATTGTACTGAGCGTCTGAACAAATGCAGCTCTGCTAACCTGCTCAGACTGAAATGATATCACTCTTCCCCCTGCGCTAGACCCAAACATGCTCCACTGCTCAGCGTCTGGCCCTGCCTCACAGCTGCTAAACCCGCCCGAGCCCACCTTAGCTTAAACTTTATGCTGCCGGAAAATTTGCGAGACCATTTCCCCCCCCCTTAAAGAAGCGCTGGGTTTGTGTCAGCCTGGCTCAGCGGTAGCGCTGGGCGGGGGTTGAGGGGGTTAGGTGGGTGTGTTGCATTGTCAGAGGTGCCGTCCTTTGGATGAAACGTTAAACCAAGGTCCCGTCTGTTTGTACAGGTGGACGTTTAAAGAGCCCGTTTCTCTCTCCTGATGTCCTGACCAGCAATCCTCTCAATAAAATTGGTCACTCACTTCATGGCTGTTTGTGGGACATTGTTGTGCTCAACCGGCAGCCGCTTTTGGCCACAAAAATACAGTCACTACACTTTACAGTATATCCCGTGAAGCACTTTAGGCCACTTTTGAGACAACCTCTGTTCATCTGACTCAGAGGTTAGAGTGCTACCACTGAGCCAGGCTGACATACATAAGATGGATGTCCACTTGTTGGTGAGTCCGTAGCAAGCGGGCTTAAGAACGACAGCCTAGAGCAGCTCTAACAGGGAGTTTTGAAGGTACTTCTTCATGCGGAGAGTGGTGAGAGTGTGGCAATCACTGTGTGAAGCCGGGGTGGAAGCAAAAAGCATCACTGTATTTCAGAGGAAATTTGATGCACGCACGAGGAAGAAGGGAACAGAGGGGAGTAGGCTAGAGAGGGACAATAGGCGATGTAGAGTATAAACCGCGGCATAGACTAGGGCTGAACGGCCTGTTTCTGTGCTGCATTATTCTACGCAATTGCATGTATTGAAAATACGCTGTTCACACTTTGCTGTCTCACCTGCTTTCTAGAAGTGAATTCTCCGCGCCGTTCCTGAGCTGTATGTTAGGCTGGGGACCATGGGTTACCATGGATACCCAGGCGGCCACTAATCAAAACCAGATGAAAACTCACTCAATCAGCCTAAAATCCACCATTCGCCACCCCGTCCACCAATGTGCAGTGTGATCAGGCCCGCTCTAGGCAATGACGCGTGATCCAAGTTTCGTCTGCAGCCAGAACTAGCATCGAATTAGAAAAGTATAAACCTCCCATTCCAGTCAAATTAAAGCATGAAGCACAAGCATTGAGCCCATCCCCCAGCCATTCGCTCCCATTTTGCACCATCCCAATGGGTCTCAACTCTTTCCCATTCAATCCCATTTCTAAAGACCTAATCAGTTCTCAATCCCCGCAGCGATGAGCAGAACAAGTCACCTTCTCTTGCCTCTGAGTCAGAAGATTGTGGGTTTAAGCCCCATGTCAGGACTTTCAGCTCACAGTCTAGACTGACACTCTAATCAACACTACGTGGAGTCCTGTAGCTCAGTGGTTAGAGCACTCGCTTTGCAAGCGAGAGACCTTTGTTCAATTCCAGGCAGGTCAGGGCGAAACCTTGGGCAAGTTTCCTTACTCCACACAGAGCCTTTACAGTGTGTTCTGTGAAGCGCTTTGGGACGTCCTCCCGACGTGAAAAGCGCTATATCAAAATGCAAGAATTATTAATTATTATTACGAGAGCCCTGCATTGTCAAAGAGATGCCATCCTTCAGATAAGATATAAAACTAAGATCCCCTCTGCTTATTCACAAACACTCACACATCCACACTAAACACACGCTCTTACAAATACTCCTGGATACACACATTGACTTACACAACTCACACATACGTACTCACACACACACACACACACACACTCACAGACACCAACACACACACACACAATTGTCATTGTTGTTCGCCTGTGGGCTTCAGCAACTGACTGAAAAAAACAAATCTCCACTAAAATGTGTTCATGTTTCTAATCAGATGTGTTTCCTGTGTGTATTTGGCTGCCTGAGCCTGTGAACTCATCATTTACACATGGTAAGAGGTCAGTGCTCGGGAAAGCACAAGTTATAATTCTCCAAAAAGATGTCACTTTGTAATCGAGCTTGACTTGAAACTATTGGCTGAATTTTCATCTACCCAGGATTAAACTCTGTGAACTCCGGGCAGTTGTTTTGTTTTATATCAATTGATCGAAGCTCACATCTGTATCTACATCTTTGTAGCACATTGGGGATTAGTTGCGATGTTTCTTAAACATGTTCCTTAACTTATTTATGGAACATTTGAACGTACACCAGCAGATGGCGCCCACTCCAGGTGGGTCAGAGAACTGTCATTTTGTGTTAACCCACATCGAGCCCCGGGGTGTGCGCGTGTGCGTGTCGAAGGGCTGAAATGCCCCCAGATAAAATTGACCATTCACTTCACGGCTGTTTGCGGGACATCGCTATGGGTGGTGTCTGGTCGTGGCCTGTAAGCTCAGCGAGTCAGCAGACTGAACAAACACCACCTCTCTGAGCCGTGCGATCGACTGCCTGAACTCAGTCAGCCATTGTGTTCTGTCTTCTGTTCAATGTGTGTTCTTTGGCTGCTCTGCACAGCGTGCTGGACACCGTCTGCTCTGCACATTTACACACACACACACACACGGACAAACCAGCACGTCAGCCTTTCACACTTGTGGGACACTTATAGAACCTTAGAATGTTCAGGCGCAGAAATGGGCCATTCGGTCCTTCAACTGCGTTGGGGGTGTTCTCACCTGAGCCCACCCTGGTCTGATTCCACTCTTGTTTCCTCCCACCCACCCCACAGCCTCTGCACAGGGGAAACTCCCTTCTCTTTTTGCAAAAGTGCTGCTGGAGCTTTTGCGTCTGCCTAAACAGGCACAAACGGGCTTAACGCCTCACATTTGAAGGCTAAAACCTCTGATATTGCAGCTCCCCCCCCGCCCACCCCTTGCCCCCACCACCAGCACTGCGCTGTCTATCTGCTGTTTGGCAGATCTTTTCATCTCCACTGAATATCTTAGCAAAACAAAAAAAAAGTCAAAGGCTTGAAATTCCAACCAGTCTCAGGCCGTGAGGCCGAAAAATTCCAACAATTGGTGCAGAATTGAGGAGCATTCTTAAATGCAGTCCTAATTCAGAATCTGCTCGTAAAATGAAACTTTACGAGCAGATTCTGAATTAAGACTGGATTTACCGCATCCAGATTCAGACCGGATTGAAGAATTTTTCACGAATCTGCACCATCGTAAATTTATGCAGGAAAGGTCGGACAGGCTGAGGCGAGGCGGAATTTCAGGCCTCGGACCCCTCTCTGTGAAGGGTAACGTACATCACTGTGCAGGTTAGAAGACAGATAGGGTGAGCAGGAGAAAAAGTGCAAGAGAATGTGTGAGGAGAGCAGGAGAGAGAGAGAGAGAGAGAGAGAGCGCTTATGTTTGCTGAGGTTTCTGCTGAGGGCCATTTTATGTTCTAAGAAAACATGGCTAATGGGCAGAATTTTTACTGAATGCTTGGGTGACCGCTATAAAAACTAACATTTAACTTTTTGCCAAATATGGGTTTGGATTTAAGAAGAACCAGCTGTAGTTACAGTGTGGCTGAGCTGTCTCCAGTTCCTGACCTACATAAGGCTCTCGATCCGTAATGCCTCATCCATCGCTTCCCAGGAATCTCTCTTTGTCTCGTCACTTGTCCCGGAAAAAACAGTCACCATGCTCAATGGGAGGGTGTTTTGCGAGGGGTCGGTGTTTTGCGGTGGGGGTTTGGCTGCCCTAATCCAGGGTGAGATTATAGCACAAATCAGTGTTGATCGAATAGCAACCTTCATCCATTTTTAACACCAAATTCTTTCTCACCTACTTCTGACTCTGTGCCAATATGACTGCTTCTCTCCAGTCTCGATGTTAATAATAACCCTTGGGTTTGATCTGGTGCCTTTCACGTCTTGAAGCGCTTTACTAACACAAGCCAACGCAGATCCACACAGCCAGCATGGATCGGGACTGTACTGACAGGCTGTAGTTTATGTACAGTTAAGCAAATTAGTTTGTATCCAATAAATATTTCATCCACAAGATGTATTATGTCATTGGCAGACACACTGTACTGTGAGGGTTCTCATTTCAAATCTGCTGTTATATTGTCTTAGAGCCCCTGAAACTAGGCCCAACTAGGCCTTGGGGCTTACTGTCACCAGCTACACCAGAGAGAGAGACTGGAGATGAAGTGCAGTTTGGTCGGGAAAGAGCAAGTACTCAATTAAAATAATCTATGCAATTAAGCATATTTAGCCTTAATCCTAAGAACTGTAAAATCTGGTATCTCGGCGAGTTCATGAACTGCCTGCTTGGCTCCATTACAGCAACAGCTGTGGTTTTTGGGAGGATGTCAGGCACGTCTCTGGGGCTGTGAGGCTGATGTCTGACACCAGGCCCTGGGAGATAGATGGCCACTCATTCAGTGTGTGTCCAGTACAGCGATGGCTACTCGCTGTGCAACCGTGCGGAGTCACAGCCATTGGTTGCTCAGTGATAGGCATTACTCTCCCTGCTCCTTCCAATGCTCCCGTCTCTGGTCCGAGCCCCGCCACTCACCATCTCCGCTTCTCACTGTAACCTTTTCAAAGAGAGCAGTTTGGGGCGGGGGGTGCGGGGAGGAGAGCGCTGGTCGGGGGTTGGGACGAGATGGGAGGAGTTCGAGTGGGGCTGTGGGCATTGGTTGGGGGTTCTGGCAAGGTGTGTGTTAGGGCGGGCGGGCGGGCGGGGCGCAATTCTGTGGGGTTCGTGGTGGGGGTGAGCAGGGGTCAGGGGTTGAGTGAGCGGGAGACTTGGTGTAGGGTTTGGGTGCTGGTTGGGGGTATGTCGGGGGGATGGCATGTGGGGTTGGGGGTCTGGCCAGGGTGAGTCATGGTGTACTGAGTGTCAACGCAAACCATTCTCTTGTGTTGTGCAGGGGGATATCCAGCAACTGATGCTGGTGTCAGACCACCGAGCGGCGTACGATTACTGTGAACACTACAGCCCTGACTGCGAGACCCCCATTCCTGAGGCCGTGCAATCCCAGGACCCCAACCAGGGGGACTATGAGGTGAGTGACCGGCGCTGGCTGTCGGACCCCAGACGCACTGCCGGACCCTCACAGCCCACATCCCAGCGGGTACAACCGCTGGCCTCTGCACGTAACTCACTGCACATCTCACTGCAGACTGTGATCTCGGTACAGGCTGTGTTATCCCAGTAAACATGACATCTGTTCTCACTGTTTTGGGGGCACCGTCCCCGCCCCTCAATGCTCTCTGTCTGATTTGTGAAGTGCTTTGAGCGGGATATTCTCGGTGAACGCTGTAGGCGTGATTGCGACTGTTTTCAGACAGGAGAGAGGACTTGATATTACGTGGACCCCGGCGCCTCACTGCCTTTTCTCCTGTCAGCAGCACAATTCCATCCAGAATTACCCCACCGTCACATTACCCCACAGCTCCAAGTGCTGACAGCGAGCATCTCGCGTCCTGGCTCCCCCATCAGCACGAGACTTTGAGCTCAAGTGCAGTGCAGTACTGGGGGTGCGCTGCATTGTCAGAGGTGCTGCACTTCGGATGAGACGTTAAACCGAGATCCAGTCTGCCTTTTCAGGTGGACACTAAGCGCCTTGGGGGACGCCCTCCCGACGTGAAAGGCGCTCTACAAATGTAATTTATTGTTAAAGATCCCACCATGCTGTTCGAAAGTGTTTCCCTCTCTCTCTCTCTCTCTCTCCCCCGGTGTCCTGGCCAACAATCCCCCAGATAAAATCAGTCACTCACTTCATGGCTGTTTGTGGAACATTGCTGTGCAAATTGGCTACTGTGTCCGCCCACAAAACACACAGTCCCTCCACTTAGCAGCAATTGCCTGTGAAGTGTTTGGAATGTTGGGTTGTGTGCTTTGGGCCGATGGAGTCAGAGCCTCTCACTGGAGCCCGAGCATTCCCGCTGCCGTCCGCACTGTTTACAGTCAGGAAACTGTCAGGCGCTCTGTGTAAACAGCTAGAGCCCACCCCGCGGGCAGCTATGGGTCACCCACCTGGCTCGCGGGTCTCACACACACACACACACACACTCACACACACAGCCACACACTCACACACTTACACGCACATTCGGTCACACTCACACACACACACTCACACATACACACTCCGTCACACGCTCTCACACCTATATACACACACTACGCACGCACACACACACACACACACACACACAGGCACAATCATAGACACACAATCACACACATACAGTCTCTCACACAATTGCAGTCACACACACATATACACACACACACACGCACACACACGTATATATAACACACACAGTCTCACACACTCTCACAAACAAGACACTCACACACAAGTGACTATGTGGGGTCGGGAGGAGAAACCGTTAGAGGAGATGAAATGGTGTTGGTAGGATAAGTATGACTCAAACCAGAAGAATGCGGTCCCACTGAGGGTGATGAGGAAAAAGAGACGGTTGAAGAGGATGGCACGGTCCACTGTGTCAGAAGCAGGGGAGAGGTCCAGGAGGACAAGGAGGCAGTGGGAGCTTTGGTCACAGAGACAGAGGATGTCACTTGTAACCTTGACCAGCGCTGTCTAGGTTCTGTGAGCCAGGCAGAAACTGGGCTGGAGGGGCTCGAGAAGGGAGTGGGAGGAAAGGTGTGAGCGAGATTAGGTGGCAACAGTGTGTTCCAGGACATTAAAAAAGGAAGAGCAAGTTGGAGATGGGCTGGTAGTTAGTGGTTTGATTATCAAGGGAGGTTTTTTTTTAGGAGAGGAGCGATCACCGTTGTTTTGAGGGGGAGAGGATGGTGCCGGAGGAGAGGGGCAGGGTGCCACCCCGGTGATGGTGGGGGGGCAGAGTGGCAGTTGGGTGGTCAGCAGCTTGGCGAGGAGCGGGTCGAAGTTTCATCTGATCGACGAGGGTTTTGAGGGTTGAGGTAGAAATGGGAGCAAAGGAGTGTAGTGGGGCAGTAGAGGAGGAAATAGGAGCTTCAGAAGATGGGGGTGAAGGGTTGCAGGATGGAAAGGAGTGGGGGGGGGGTGGGGGGGGGAGCGGGAAACAGCCAAAAAGATGTTGTCTATTATTGATGCGAAGAAGTCCAGGTCCTCCTTGGCATTTGGCATCGAACTTTCACCTTATCCCTGTGTATTGTGTAACCTCTTCAAGGTGATTATTATTTAATGTGAGTTTGGGTGTTATTCTGAGTACACTCTTGAGTGAGGTTACCCTTTAATGGCAGGATCTGGAGGGGAATTATTATTACGAATATCCTTATTATGAAAACTTCCCGGATGATTACAAAGACGGACCCACCGAGAGGACACTGGAGCCAGAGTACGGGGAGGTCACGGGCTCCCTCACCGAAGACGAGGAGGAGGGGACGGTGACGACGGCGGTGGGGGAGGAAGAGGCAGTGTTGGAGGGAACGGCGAACACCGAGGTGGAGGAGGTAAGCACAGAGGGAAATATCCTCCCTCTGAACAGTACGCTGTGTGAGAGTGTGTCCAAGTCTCTATTGTGCCCCAGGATTGGTTATAAAATCATCTCTCGCTCTCGTCAACGCGGGTTCCTGTGTTGCAGCAATGAGACACTAGCTGTTAGCCTCACTGTGGCTCCATGTCAGATGGCCCATCAGGGGCCATTTGCTGTGGCACCTACCCAGCTCGCAGCCAAGGTACCCTCCCTGTCCTGGGACTCCCCCACCTCACCCGTGTGACAACCCCACATCAGCCGTCCATCCTTTGGTTGTGTTTAGGACTCTTCCATTGGAGAGATGGGCTGTGTCACCTCTGAGGCTTGTCCAGAATGGGTCGTTAGGTCATCACGGGAGACCATTCGGCCTATCTCGCTCACACCGAGCTGAGTAAAAGGCTGCAGAGGGCAATTTCAGGATGGACTCCAGGAAGTATTTCTTTACACAGAGGGTAATTAACTGGACTGGACCAGGCTTCCAGAAAAAGTGGCTGAGACCTGCAGACTTGGACTCATTTACAAAATAGCTTGATGCTACAATGGGGGTCAGGAGAGTGGGTTTGTTGGAGAGATGAGATCAGATGGGCCAAACTGATCTTGTGAACCCCGCCTCTAATCTCTCCTCCCCACAATATCCCTTGATATTTTTACTCCCGAGAATCTGCCTTCTCCCCAATCCCTTGACTGATCTCTCCTCTCAACTGCTGAGTGTTGGCCATTCCCTCACTCTCCGTCAGCGACTTCGCCTGGTCTCCGTCCCAATCGGTCTTGCCCTCATTTGAAGGTCACGAACTCTCTAAAAACTCACGTCCCCGCTGGCCGGCTGCTGTTCCTGTGCACGTGGCACACGTCACCAGCTCGTGCAATGGGCACCGTCATGGCGGGCACCGTCGCCATGGGCATCGTCACCTTGGGCTTCGCACTGACACATTCACTCCTTGCGTTCAGAAAAAGACAGAGGAAACGGGGAACGTGGAAGGAGAACGCTCGGTGGTGCACGTGACCAACAGCGCAGACAATTACGAGCCGGAGGAGCTGACCGACGACTATTATCATTACAATTACAATTACAATTACAACGATACCTACGGCTATGGCGAAGAGAATCCCACAGATGGGGACAACAGCTTGGACAATGACCTCTCTGTCACCCATGAAGCAACAAGCAACCACAGCAAGGTGTGTGCGCCAGGGTGCGCGTGTGTCTGTGCGTGTGTGTGTGTACACACGGACATGTGGACGTCTGCGTGAGAGCGTGAGTGCGCGTGTGTGTGTCTGCGTGTGAGCGCACCTCTGAGTGTTTGGAAGTGGGTACGTGCGGAAGTCTGTGTGAGTGCATGTTTGTGTGAGTGCGTGTATGAGTCTGTGTGAGTGCGCCGTGTGAGTGCGTGTGTGTGTGTCTGTGTGAGTGCGCGTGTGTGCGTCTGTGTGAGTGCGCTGTGTGCGCGCGTGTGTGTCTGTGAGAGTGTGTGAGTGTGCGTGTGTACATGCGTGTGTGTGAGTCTGTCCGAGGACGTGTGTGTGTGTGTGTCCGAGCGCGCGCGTGTGTGTCTGTGTGAGTGCGCGCGCGTGAGTGTGCGTGTGCACATGCGTGAGTGCGTGTGTGTGTGAGTCTGTGCGAGTACGTGTGTGTGTGTGTGTGTATGAGTGTGCGTGTGAGTGTGTGTGTTTGAACTGGAGTGTGTAGCAGTGAAGAGGAACAAATGTACAGTTGAACGTGTGAGAACTGGGGCCCTGATCGTTGAGCATCGGCCCAACCCCAGGGCTGCTGGTTCTTACAGGAGCAGGGTGGTGACCCCACAGAGCCCAGCAGCTCTGGCCAAGAGGGAGGGGTGCTGCAATGCGGGGCGGGCTGGAGGGGGTCGGGGGCCTGAGCCCCAATCCCTGCGCTTACCGTGATTTCCTCTTGTCCCTGAGGGTGACCATTTACCATCTGGCCCAACAAGCTGGGAAGAAAAGGGGCTTTGGAATAGGGACTGGGATCAGGATCGGGATTGGGATTGGATCGGGAACCCACACATTACTTACCCATCTCGTAGCCAGCGCTGAAATGTCACTGTCTGTCAGCCATGAGCCTCAGCGCCTGACCATTCGCTGCAGCCACTGCACTGAAACCATTAACCTGACTTTCCGTTGCTGTGTTTGTCCACTCCCCACCCCATCCCCTCCTCTCCCCACATTATCGCCACCCCACACTATACCCTCTCCCCCCCAGGTGGAGGTGGAGAAGAAGCAAGATCACGGATCGGGTTGGAACAACACGTTCACGGAGGAGGTGGTCACGGACGAGAATCTGGATGACCAGTACGAGGTGTATTATGATTACGACGACGAGGATACCGACTCGGTGATCGGCAACGGATCCCGGCAACAACCGATGCTGAGTACGCCAGGGTGGGTATCGCCTCTCGCCTCTGGGTCAGAAGGTTGAGACGTGGAGTCCTGTAGCTCAGTGGTTAGAGCACTCGCTTTGCAAGCGAGAGACCTGAGTTCAATTCCAGGCAGAGGGCGAAACCTTGGGCAAGTTTCCTTACTCCACTCAGAGCCTAATAATAATCCCTCCAAAACCACAAACAATAATAAATTGGTCATTTTCAATCTACGACTGTTTGTGGGACATTGCTGTGTGCAATTGGCTGCCGCGTTCGCCCACAAAGATACAGTCAATTCACTTTACAGTGTGTTCTGTGAAGCGCTTTGGGACGTCCTCCCGACGTGAAAAGCGCTATATAAAATGCAAGGATTATTATTATTATTATTATTGTGGTTTCAAGACCTACGTCGGGACTTGAACTCACATAGTCTAAGCTGACACTCGAAGGCAAGTGCTGGGAGGGCGTTGCATTGTTGGAGGTGCCGTCCTCCGCATGAGACATTAAACCGAAGATCCCATGACACTGTTTGAAAAGAAAAGGGAGTTTCACTCCCTCCGGTGTCCTGGCCAACAGTCCTCCTAGATAAAATTGGTCACTCATTCCGTGGCTGCCCGTGGGACATGTGACCACATTTGCCTACAAATCCATCACTCCATTTCACAGTAAATCCTGTGAAGCGCTGTGAGAAGTCCTCCCGACGTGATAAGGTGCTGTAGCAAATGCAAGGATTATTATTATACTATTCTGTGTCTACCTCGTGCTGTCGCCGACCTGGGAGTGTGGACGGACAGTGTCGACAGAGGGAGAGTTACGCTGTCTCTAGCCTGGGCTGGATGGTGAAAGTGATCTCACTTTTATTGAGACGGTTTGGGTTTCTACAGTGATCGGACGGTTCTTTCTTTGACACCAGCAGGGGAACGGCGTGAGGGGAGAGAAGGGCCAGAAAGGGGAGCCGGCCGTCATCGAGCCGGTAAGTCTTGGGAAAGTCGAGGGGATGTAGCTGGGAAAAGGAGAGGGGGACTCGCAGCACGGGGAGCAGGAGGGAATCAGAGGGTTATGTGTTCAAGCCCCTCATCCAGACTCGGAGGTCACAGTCCAGGCTGACGCTCTCAGTGCAGGGTTGGGGCGGGTGTGTCGGGGGGGGGGCGGGGGGGTGGGAGCGCTACGGGGGAAGAGGGAATGAGCGCTGCAATATCGGACACGCCGTCCTTCAGATGAGCCGTTAAACCGAGGTCCCGACTGCCTGCTCGGGCGGCTGTTGAAAAGAGAAGCGGGTTTCTCTCTCCCGGTGTCCTGGCCGACAATTGCCCCGGATAGAATCGGTTGCTCACTTCACGGCTGTTTGTGGGACGTCGCTTGTGTGCAGACTGGAGGGGGAAACGGTCGCTACGCCAGAAGAATAATTACCCGGAAAATGTTTCGAAGCGCTGGCAAAAATACAGGTTGACCTGGCGTCTCACCTGTGTGGGTGTGCTACGGTGTGTGTGCGTGTGCTTGCGTGTGTGTGTGCACGCGCATGTATCAGCGCCTTGGGACGTCCTCCGGATGTGAAAGGTGCTATACAAATGTAGTCTTGTTGTTGGTGTTGGTGTATCTACCCGGCGCTGTGTGTGTGTGTGCGCGCGCGCGCGTGTGTGTGTGTGCGTGCGTGTGTGTGTGTTATTAGCGGGCCGGGTGATTAATTCTCCTGTTTGTTTAACGCAGGGAATGCTGATCGAGGGTCCCGTTGGGCCTGAAGGCCCGGCTGTGAGTCACAATCCAACCATGTGCTTTTCTGCTTGTTGCCGAAATCTACATTGAGCCGCCGACCTTTGCCAATTAGTAACATGTGTCTCGGCTTCTTAAATGAGGACGGATTCGGATCCAGTGCGCTGTCGAGCGGTCTCTCTCACCGGCTCCGTGCTTTGCGCTTGCCACCTCACACTTTGGTGTTGTTTCTCGTTGTCTCCTACAGGGTAGAACCGGCCACTCGGGCTCCCCCGGACCCCCAGGCCCCATCGGGGACCCCGGTGACAGAGTAAGCCTCATTATTTTTTTATCGTTTCCCGCGCACCCAGCGCACTGCCGGAGCAATCAAGCCCCGAGCCAACGGGAACCGCGCCAGGTTCCTGCAGTAATTAAATCATTTCTACCCTCTTCTTACGCCGGCCAAAAAGGAACATGCTCATGGAAATAACAGCTGGAGTTCAATCCTTTATGTAAATAATCGTTTCCCAATGTCCAGGCACTGTCCCCCCTTCCTTGGCTTCTATTGGTGAGAGGGGAGGGTTGGGGGGGTGGGGGGGGAGAGGGGAGGGGAGGGGGAACGTTGGGGGTGGGGGTGGGTTCTCCTCGTATGGGTGAGCGAGCGTCAGTGAGGATTTCAAACGAGAGAGAGAGAGATTAGCAACTCCCATCCTGTCATCACCTGAACACCCCATCCCTCAACACACACACACACACACCACGGGAGGGGAGGGGTGGGGTGGGGCGGGTTGTCTCTGAACAGCGATCAGGACCATGGAAGACTTGGCTGATTTCCTCCCCCCCCCTCCTCCTCTCGATAACCCCTTACACACATCCTAATCCCTCTCTTCGTGTCGCTCCTCAATCACTCTCCTTCCCCCCCCCCCCTCCCCACCAGCACCCCAGGTGCTCACTCTCTTTTCCCCCATCCCTCCTCTGCCTCTTTCCCACCCCCGTTGTTCCCCGTGACCACCACCCCCCCACATTCTGAGGGAGGGAGGAGCGCAGGCGAGACTGGTTGTTCCGAACGGTGGGGGGTGTGTGTGTGTGTGTGTGTGGGTGGTGGGAGAGAGCCGCTTCCTACTCCCCCCCCCCCCCCCCCCACCCCAGGCTCAGGTGAATCCACACGTCAGGGTAACCCTCATCCCAGAGCGTGGCAGTGACGCCCACGGGAAAGGCGTGCGTTGGGCGGTGGGCAAGGGGTCAGGGACTCTGCGATCACAGTCCAGTCTGACACTCCAGGGCTGTGCTGGGGAGGAAGCGTTGAATTATCAGTGTAACGTGCAGGTTGCTGGCCGAGCGGGCAAGTAGGGCAGGAGAGCCCGCCAACGTTTCCTCGAGGCTTCTCACGGCCGAGGCTGCCAAGGCTTCGGATCCTGTAAACTGGCACGGACTCGTTCCCAGAGCCGTTGAATCGGAGCGTGCGGCAAATGGTCTGACAGAGTTAGAAGCTGCTGCTGATGTCGTGCTCCCCTTCCTTGACAACGGCTCAGCATCTGCTCCCTCTCCCCGGCTCTGCCTGTCCGTGCCCGCGGGGAGCCGGGGCCGGGGCTGGCCGCAGGGCTTCTGCTGCCCCCCGGTGGGCATTCACCCGCACTGCAAGCGAGCTGCCGAAGCTTCGACCGGGTGAAATGCCTCGGCGTTCCCTGAGCTGTTCCCGTGCGATAATTAGCGCACGAGACGCTGCAAGTTTAACCCGATCGTTTTTCGCGTGGGATTTTGGTTTAGCTCCACTTGTTTTTCTGGCCGTCGAGTCAGAACAACGGACGACAGGGCTCCGATGTCCCTGTGAGGGTTTTTTTTTTGAGGGGATAGAGTTCGGGGTGAACCCACTCTCAGATGCCACTCTCACGTGTCACACCAGAAGGTTGTGGATCCAAGGCCCCATGTCAGGGACGCTGAGATCAAACTCCGGTCTGACACTCCAGCGCTATGCCGGGGAGGACCATTGAATTATCAGTGTACGGGCAATTGTATGAGATGTTCAACCAAACTCCTGGCCGTGTCTGTTCAGGTGAACGTTAAAGAACCCGCTACCCTCTGGGAAAACTCTGTGGTAATCCCTCAAATAAATCGCTCCCTCACTTCAAGGCTGCCCATGTGTGTCTGTGCGTGTGGGGGTAGGGAGGGACTGTGCACGTGCTGTGCGTGTGGAGCGTGTGTGTGGGGCGGGGAGAGGGGTGAGTGTGCGCGTGTGCGTGTGTGTGGAGGGTGTGTGTGTTGTGTTTGTGTGTGGGGGGGAATAAGTGTGCGCGGGGGGGGTTTAGTGAGCGTATGTGTGTGTGTGTGTGCACCTGTGTCTGTGTGGAAAGGCGACTGTGTTTGTCCAACCCTGTAACTTTGTGCAAAATGGTCCCCCGCCTTTGCCTTTAGCAATCACGCTAATCGCCGGGCAATAATTACCGTGAAGAGCTCATGGATGTTGGATGTTGGATGTTGAGATGCGCGAGAGAGCGAGAGAAAGAGAGCGAGAGAAAGAGAGAGAGAGAGAGAGAGAGAGAAATGAAGCCTGGGCATTTTCCCGTTTGCTGGAGTTGTTGCGATGCCAGTTGTGTGGCAGCAGTCACTGGTTGTCCTGTGTGGCTGCGATGGTCAGTGTTTGCTGATCAACTGTCGTGTTTCTCTGATGACAGGGGCTCCCAGGCCGGTCGGGCCTCCCAGGAGCTGATGGATTACCGGGACGCCCTGGGACCATGCTCATGCTGCCGGTGAGTGACTTCAACACGTCTGTAGTGACCAGTCACTACAGTGGGGGTTAACGATAAGTCCGTTGGGGGTTAAGGACGAGTCATGTCCAGGGTCAAGCAATGAGGTTGATTTGTGGCAAACACGGGAAGTGGCTGCAGGGAGGGAGGGAGGGCTTCGACCAAGACTGACCTGTCGCTCAGCATCCTGGAGGTGGCTTCACAATCTGTTTCCCAAAGCAGTTGGTGCTGAGTAAGCCTGGTACATGGTATTAGTCTTGTCCTCGAGACCATCAAGTGGCTGTCCTGTAAAGGTCCTCCCACCACGCTGAAAGCAGATGTCCGTCAGATAGCTGATGAGAGAATTCTGAGGCTTGGGGCGACAGCTGCTGGAACGTGTTACCTGGAGTCCCGAGTACGTGAACATGCCTTCGTATGTCTAGTCAAACCTTGATTGGTTTGCAGAAAGGTAAGCAGCTACTGCTCAAGATCTGCACCTCCAACTGGTAGGACCATCGCTCAACGGAAGGGACGTGTGTCTGGCAATGCATCCCCAAACCACCCCCTTCTGACACCGCTGTTAAGCACCTTGAGACGCTGCTCTCCACGTGAGGGGTGGGGGGAGCGGTGGGAGGTCGGGGGTTGTATAAACGCAGGTTGTTGCTGTTCTTGAAAGCTTTAATGACAAGTCGTATCGGGATTTATGGAGTCGTGCTGAGGTTTAATGATGAGTGGTGTCAGGGTTTAATAACGGGGCATGTTGATGATTTTACAATAAGTCATGGGGGGAGGGGGGGTTTAATGCCAACTCGAGTCCGGGTTCAATGTCGAGCTACGTTAGGGTTCAATGACGAGTTGTACCAGAGTCTAACATGAGTCAGGGTGAGGTTTCACGATCACTTACATTGGGCTTTAAGGACAAGCGGTGTCTGTCCTGTCAATAGTTAATGACAAGTCATGTCAGGAGTTCACTCTGAGTTGTGTTGGTGTGGGGTGGGGGCGGGGGCGGAGGGGGAGGTTTGTGACAAGTCATGTAAAAGTGTAGTGCCAAGTCATGTTAGGAGTTAGCGATGAGTCACGTTGAGCTTTAAAGACAAACGGTGCCAGGGTTTAGAGATAAGTCGTGTTATCAAACACAGGGAATCTGTGTGCAATGTTGCATATTTTACCTCATGAAATCTTAACTGTTCAGCAGCAATATTGGTGAAGGTCACGGATTGTGCACACACACACACGCGCGCACACATACAAACACACAGGTTGTGTACATACGCGTGTGGGTTGTGTACACACAATCACACACACACACACACACACGGGTTGAGTACACACAAACACACACACGCACATACTGATTGGGTATACACACACACACGCATGGGCGGTGCGCGTACACAGACGCGGGCTGTGTGTACGCACGCACAATGGCTGTGGACACGCACACAGGTTGTGTACCGTGCTGAGTTTGCTGTTTTCATTCCAATAATTGACTGAGATCCTGGTTCCAAGCTCTGGGGTTTGGCCGCTCGCCACAAACAGCTCCAGCTGCCATCGGCTCCCATCCCTGCCTCCTCTCCAGCTCAGCCTGCGATCATTCCACACCCGAGGACCAGACCCTGTCCCCCCCCCCCCCCCCCCCGAGGCCTTGTCCCCATCCCGGGGTTTACTGCTGTGCGCAATTGGCTGCCGATTTTCGCCAACAAAATACACAGTCACTTTGCTTTACAGTATATTCTGTGAAGCGCTTTGAGACGTCTCGAAGACGTGATAAGGGGCTGTATCAAAAGCAAGGATGATTATTTATTTTTTTAAGCCATCTGCCTCCCCCACATCTGCCTCCTCACACCCAGTCCGTGATTTGCACGCGAGAGGTCCAAATCACTGAATTGTTCCTGTTACCTGGGACCTGTTGCCCGTCAGACAGAAGCGAACACAGCGACGCATACACAGCACCACATGGGAGCCCATCATTCCCTTCCGCACTGTGGGAGAGAAGTGACACCGGTCATGAAGGAGCTGGAATGATCAGGTAGCCTGACTCACAATTCAGCATCGCTCAGTCGCTAATGCTCTCGTGGGTTCAAGCCCCACATGGTGACTCTGAGCTCACAGTGTAGGCAGATACCTCATTGCAGTGCTGGGGGATGTTGCATTGTCTGAGATGCCATCCTTCAGGTGGCACTATTCAAAGAGAGAAGAGAGTTTTCTTCTCTCTCCCTCTGGTGTCTCTCCAGGCTGACATTCTCCCAGATAAAATGAATCACTCAGGTCAAGGCTGTTTGTGGGACGTTGCTGTGCACAAATTGACTTGACTACGCAATACCCAGTCACTCCAGTTACTGTAATCCCAGTGAAGCTCTTTGAGATGTTTGACGTTCTGTCACCTGCATGTGGTTCGAAGTGTCAGGGCTTATGTCCTACAGTATGATTTACGCGTATACAGTGGGTTTCACACGGGAGGGCAGCCCTGAGGCTGTAGACGAGGCTTTGTGTTGATGTTCACGCTCAGTCCCACCGGTGGGGACCAGGCAGGAGTGTTTACTGTAATAACCTGTTGGTCAGTGTTGCCGTGTAAGGGATTGCCTGGCTGTCCCAGCTCCCAACTCTGGCAAACGTAGTCATTTCCTGCTGAGCGTAGTGGGAAAAAGAGAGGGCGCGGGGTGCTGGTGTTGGTATGCGGGTGCTGCTGGGAGCGGGAGCAGTGTGCTGGGGTTTGCTGGAGCCCAGATCTTTGCTGAACCTGTCTGTTTCTCTCTTCACAGTTCCGGTTTGGGGCGAGCGGTGGAGATAAAGGGCCCTCTGTGTCTGCTCAGGAAGCTCAAGCACAGGCCATCCTACAACAAGCCCGGGTCAGTGTGTGTGTGTATGTGTGTGAGAGAGAGAGAAATTGGGGGGGTGGGGGGGCGCTGGGCGGGGAGGGAGGGTCCGTGGTGGGAGCGGGGGAGCGGTGTCGGTGTCAGGGCCGGGAGTGGGGGAGCGGGGATGGGCTGGCGAAGCTGGGTGTGGGGGGTGGTGGGCGGTGGGAGGGCGGGGGTGGTGTCGGGCAGAGGCAGGAGATATTTAATTGAAATGTTTGTTTTACAGCTGGCGATGAGAGGCCCATCCGGTCCCATGGGGCTGACTGGCCGTCCAGGGCCTTTAGTAAGTACCTTATTACCCGCTGTGACCTGGGGTGTGAGGCCGTGCAGAGAGCTTTGAATCTTCTTTAGCGAGAAGGTGGATAACTGGAGGGGTGGGGGGTGGGGGGTCTCAGTCTGGCTCAGTCGCTCGCGCTGTAGCCTCTTCTCAGAACGCCACGCTGCTGTTTGAAAAGAGTTTCTCCCGGCGTCCGAGCCAAATGGGACCACAGTTTAACACAGTGTCAGCCGTAGGACGGCACCTCTGAGAATGCAACCGCAGGCGCAGGTACCGGCTGCGTTTAAATTTCACCTGCGCAGTGTAGATTGTTGATTCATTCGGATTTTCTACGATTTGGGCAGTTTGCCGGCAACGTGGACTTTGCACGAGTCATGTTAAGGGTTACGGTCCCGACTTTACTGCACACAGAGGGTCGTTAGGACGTGGGTGGTCTGACCAGAGACGCTGACTGGTGCAGAAACAAAAATACAATACGTCTTCCAAGGAATCAGACAAAGATTTGATATGGGAAGGAGGGGCACGACGATGATGATGATGATGGGTGGTGGGGTGGGGGGGGGGGGTTGGGGTTGAAGGGAGTGGGTAAGCGGAGGGTCTTACAGAAAGCCGGCACAGGCACGGGGGGGTTGGGAAACGTTCGCCCTGTAGGGTGAGGGTGGTCTTTTGCTCCGTACTCGCACTCCGACCTCACTCCGTTCCTTTCCCAGGGGCCGCCTGGCAGCTCGGGGCTGAAAGGTGAATTGGGAGACTCGGGGCCTCAGGTTCGTGGTCACATTTGCAGCCAATTTCACCCTGAAGAGTCTGTGTCTGTATGGCGCGGAGCCCGTGTATGGCGTGATGCGGAGCGTGTGTGTGGTGTGACACGGAGCGTGCGTGTGGCATGACGTGGAGCATGTTTTTAGCGTGATGTGGAGCGTGTGCCGCGTGATTTGTAGCGTGTGTATAGCGTGATGCAGAGCGTGTGTGTGTGGCGTGACTTAAGAGCGGGTGTGTGGCATGACGTGGAACGTGTACGTAGCGTGACGCAGTGCGTTTGTGCGTCGTGACATGGATTGTGTGTGTAGAGTGACGCAGAGCATGTGTGTGTAGCGTGACGCGGAGCGTGTGTGTAGCGTGACGCGGAGCGTGTGTGTAGCGTGACGCAGTGGGTGTATCTGATGGTTTATTCTCTTGTCATAGGGTCCTCGCGGGACTCAGGGACCCCCAGGCCCTGGGGGAAAGCCAGGCCGCAGGGTGAGCGATTTCTGTGTGTTTTCGTCACAGCCGACGAGAGGGAAGAGATTGGAATATGTTACACGTTGACATACATAACAAACATACACCCACAAAAATACAAGTGCGTTCATAGACACACACACACACACACACACACACTTGTGCACGACTGTACACACAAACATACATACAAATGTTCACACAGATGTACACAAATGCACGCATGTCGATACGCATAAACACACAGATACACTAGAATACATACTTACACCCAAACACGCACGCACATATGCACACGAACATGCACACGCGAAAATTTACACACAAAAACACATACACACATCCCTGAACATACACATGGACACTTACATGTAGTAGGCAGGGTTTGTCCCTCCAGGGAGAGAGAGAGAGCAATTTTCTCCAGACACAGGGAAATTCCCATGTGTACGTGGCACATATATGTGGAAGGAACGCTTCGTCTGGTTTGGATACTCTTAAGAGCGGTGATGGGTTTCTGCACGTGAGGTGGGGAGGACAAGTTTGCAGGGCTATGGGGAGAGCGCGGGGGGAGTGGGATTGAATTGGATAGCTCTTTTCAAAGAGCCGGCACAGACACGATGGGCCGAATGGCCTCCTTCTGTGCTGTATAATTCTATGATTCCATGATATGTCAGATACCTGACTGACCGACAGAAACAAACAGAGCGACTGACTGTGTGCGTCTCTCTCTATCCACATGGCAGGGCCGGTCAGGGGCGGACGGAGCGAGAGGAATGCCAGGATTATCAGGACCAAAGGTAATGTGTGAGACATTTATTTCCAGCCTCCAGTTTATCCCCAACCTCTCCTACTCTCACCTCCGCAGCAAAAAGTTGTGGATTCAAGCCCCACGTCGGGGACATTGAGTTCACAGTCTGGGCTGACGCTCCAGTTCAGTGAAACACGGGCAAAGGTGCCGGTTTTTGGATGAGACGTTAAACCGAGGTCCCATCTGCCTGTTCAGGTGGACGTTAAAGATCTTGCGGGGCTATGCAAGAAGAGAAGGGTGTTCCTCTCTCCTGGTGTCCTGGCCAATAATCCCCCCCAAATAAAATCGATCGCTGACTTATTTCTTGGCTGTTTGTGGGATATTGCTGTATGCAAATTGGCTGCCCCCGTTTCGCCTACAAAATACACAGTCACTGCACTCGTGTGTAATGTACGCACAGGAGCCAGCACTGAGACGCACACGAGCACGAGACGGGATTGAATTGTTCCCTGTGACCCGGCGTGTGCTGTACACACAGGAGCTGACAGACCTGTGCTTGTGTATGTTGTTATCCTCTTCGACCGGGGCTTATGGCCACCTCCCACCCCACTGGCTCAGAGTCAGGCTCCGCCACTGTTAAGCGCTCTGAGACGCTATCCTGCTTGGAGAGCGCTATGTAAGCGCAAGTTGTTATTTTTGTTATTAAATCCCTTTTGTTGCTCCGCAGGGTGAACGCGGTTTTGATGGGTTGCCAGGGTTACCTGGTGAGAAGGGGAACAGGGTAAGTGGCATCTCCGTGTGGCATCCTGGCAAGGGCCTCCCTCATGTCAGAGTGTGTAGCAATGTGCCTTCCACACCGTGTCGCGCACACCGTGTCGCGCACACCGTGTCGCGCACACCGTGTCGCACACACCGTGTCACACACTGATCCGTTCACACCGTGGTGTGCTATGTGATGTGACGCACTGACTTCACTGCCGACGGCTCGGACATTCAGACGTTAATGACTCTTTTCTGCATCCAGGGAGACTCAGGCCCACAAGGTGCAACTGGACCATTGGGAGATGACGGCGAGCGAGTGAGTACAACAACAACAGCAGCTTACATTTATATAGCGCCCTTCACACGGAGCAGCGACTCAGAGCATCAGTGGACACGGAACTGCTGGCTGTGAAACGTGACACATGACGTGAATCAGGAGAGACCACCAACCTGTTAAGCTTTGGATCATAGGGTTAGCAGGAGATGGCTGAGAAGAATTCCTGCTTCCAGTGACTGGTCTGTCCTTCCAAGTCTGAGGCAGAAAGAGAGCGAGACAGACAGAGAGAGAGAGAGGGACAAACTGATAAAGACAGACAGAGACAGAGAGTCAGAGAGCGACAGAATGCAAAAACAGAGTGAGACAGAGAGTGAGGGCGAGTGACAGAGGGTGAGTGAGAGAGAGACAGATGAGAGAGAGACAGAGTGAGAGAGAGAGAGAGAGAGAGAGAGAGAGAGACAGAAAGTGAGTGAGGGAGACAGAGAGTGAAAGAGAGACAGAGAGTGAGAAAGAGACATAGTGACAGATACAGTACAAAAGTACATTTGTAAAGCATCTTTTATGTTGGGAGGATGTCCCAAGGCGCTGGACAGTCAGGGATTTGGACAGTCAGGGAGAGAGAGAGAGAGAATAAAAGAGAGACAGGTGGAAGGACAGATGGTTTGGTCCATGGTGTCTGCGCTGTTCTTTGAGTCCTATTTCCCTGTGTTTCTCTTGTACCCCTGCAGTTTGAGAGTCTTTCGCTATCTAGCTAATTCCCTCTTGAAAACTAATACACGAATCTTGTCTGAATCCCACACCTGGTATTCCACATTCTAACAACCTTCAATATTAAAATATTGCGTCCCATCTTCTTGTTGCTAACCATCTTGATAGGTTTTCTGAAGGTTTCGGCTGTTATTAAAAAGGGCGCAAATTAACACTGAATTCCAGACTTTCTCACAATTCTCTGACATTCTTAAGGCTGAGAGCCAGAGGCTTCCGGGCTCAGGGCATCTGCACCTGTTAACCCACCGGTAACGTCTGTCTTTCAGGGCGATGATGGAGAAGTGGGTCCCCGTGGTCTCCCGGGCGAGCCTGTGAGTATCCGTCTGTATGTACAGCACAACCTCACAGTACACAGTGAGGGGTGTGTGTCAGTGTCACAGTGAGGGGTGTGTGGGGGGGAGGGGGGTGTGAATGTCACAGTGAGGTGTTTGTACTGAATACAGCAAAATGGAACTGGAATTGATAACAACATAAGGGAACTTGAAATGATTGGATTACAATGGAACTGGAACTGATTACAGTAAAGGATCAAAACTGAGTAGAGATTAAGGGAACTGGAAATTATTCCAATACAAGGAATTGAAATTGATTATGGCACAAGGGAACTGAATCTGAACTGGTTACGGTACAGGATTACAGTGGAAGAGATGTGGAACTGGTTACAGTACAGGATTACAGTGCAAAGAGAAGTGGAATTGGTTACTGAAGGTTTGGACTGATAACAATACAATCGCAGTGAAATGGAACCCAAACTGATTCTAGAACAAGCGAACTGGAATCGAGTACAGTACCATGGAACTGGATCTGATTACAGTTACGGGGGAACTGGAACTGAATACAGATCAACAGAGCTGGAATTTATCTCTGTACAAGGAGATTGGAACTGATTACAATACAAGGAAACTGAGAACGATTACGGTACCGTGGAATGGGAACTGATTACAATAGAGGAAACGGGAACTGATTACAGCACAACAAGACTGGAGCTGAGTTTGGAACAATAAAACTGCAACCGATTACTTTGTGAGGGAACTGGAACTGAATACAGTGCAATGGCACTGGAACTGTTTACAGTACAATGGAAACTGGACCTGATTACAGTACATTACAAATGGCACTGACTTCCATATAATAGAACTGGAACTGATAATACAAGGGAAGTAGAAATAATTACAGTGCTACGCAGCTGGAACTCATTTCAGTACAAGGAAACTGGAACTGTATACGGCAGAAGGAGACTGGAACTGATTAAAGTGCAAAGAAACTGGAACTTATTATTGCACAAGCGAACTGGAACTGATTCCAGCACAGTGAGGCGTGTGGATGAGATGGCCACACCAGATTAGATGAGGCAGTGTGTGTATGTGTGTGTTGGAAGGGTGGGGGTGGTGTTTGCTCCCTGTGAGGGTGGAGGTTTTGCGATGACCCCCTCCTGATACCTTGTCCTCTTCTTCTTGTTTCCAGGGTAGTCGTGGTTTACTTGGACCAAAAGGACCCTCAGGACTCCCTGGACAGACTGTAAGTGGTGTTGGTGGTGCCCTCTCATGTACCTGTTTAACCGACCAGCGTGGGTGGAGCAGTTCTCTTAACGCTTACTATTGATTGGATCTGAGTTTCCTTCCGTGTCTCAGTTGCGTGTATCCTTCCACCAACACAGTAATTCCTGTAATGTCTACGACAACACCACCACAAATTGGATTTTGTGGTGGTTGCCCCTTGCACTTTGGGGCGACATCCCAAGGCGCCTAGCAGCTAAGGGTTAGACTGGTGTATAACTCACACACGGGCGGTGTGCTGGAGGTGGGGGTAGATCTGCGGTTGGCAGAGAGGTCCATAACCTTCTTAACAAAAAGGTTGATTGGCCACCAGGAGGTGACACTGATATCCCTCTCCAGGGAAGTGGGCTGTTCCTCAGGGCTGTGGGCTGCCATTTTGTTTGACCCTCAGGCCGGGCCTTTCTGTTTTGTGAATGTTATGCCCCACCTCGAGCTGTAAGGCTGTAAGTTCTCTTATTTTTCTTGGTTGCATATCGCTTGCCTCGCGTTGCCGACCTGCCGAGGACGGCAGGAAACCACATCATCTTCAGCCAAAGAAAGTTAACTTCTGGGTCTGGGGCCTCAAGTCTAGGCCTCAGGCACTAATAATTCCTTCTTTTAATCTTGTGTTTTGGGTCTTCTGCACATCCCTTGTCCCTTCTGCTCCACGATTGGCAGCTGCGCTTTCAGCCACTGTACCGAATCCCTGGATCTCCTTGGCTCAACCTCTCCGTCTCCCCCCCCACCCCTGCCCCCATGCCCCCTTGTTTCCCGTCTTCTGTCGAAAGACTTTCCTCTTTAACCGAGCCTTCGGTCACCTCTCCTCCGCTTTCTGGCTCGGCACGAAGTCACGCCGCTGTTAATAATAATAATCCTTGCATTTGATATAGCGCCTTATCACGTCTCTTCGAGACGTCTCAAAGTGCACCACGATCGCTGTTGTGCTGAATTGATTTGTTTCCTCAATTACATGCATTTGATTCCCTTTACAGGGTGTTACGGGAATGGATGGACATCCTGGTCCTAAGGGAAGCCAGGTAAGTGTCGTCAGAAGAGATCCACTCGTCGCTAAACCCTACACTTGTGTTGAGATCATGATTCAATGGAGTCATTGGTATTGGAATTGCTCCCCGAGTGGCAGGGTGGGGGAACTGCACCTTGTGTGGCTGAGCACTGAGTTACTGATCTCAGCCACGGAGTGGGTGGTGGGGGTGGGGGGGGGGAGGGAGATCAGCCAGGGTTTCCGTATCCAATCGGTCACGCAGGTTAAGACGGTACAATTTCAGACCTTTGGCTGCTATGATGATCCCTCCCCCCATATCATAAAATATCTTGAGATGTTTTGAGGTCAGTGTGAATGAAGCTCGTGTTAGCCCTGGTTCGTGCAATGCCCTGGCCGTTGGGTAGAGGTTTCAGCCTGGCTCAGTCAGCCACCCTTTCATCTCTGGGTCAGATGATGGTGGGTTTGTGCCCCACGTCTAGACTTATTATTATTATTATTTGAGCTCACAGTCTAGCCTGATGCTCCAGTGCAGAGCTGGGGGAGTGGGGGGAGCAATGCATTGTCTGAGTACCATCCTTTTGGATGAGACTTTAAACCGAGGTCCCGACTGTGCCTGTTCAGGTGGACGATAAAGATCCAGCAACACAATTGGAAAGGAGAAGGGAGTTTCTCCCGGCATCCTGGTCATTCACTTCACGGCTGTCTGTGGGAAATTGCTAAATCAACTGCGGCATTCGCCTACAATATACACCGTCAATAAACTTGTCAGCCATTCCGCTTTGAGCTGCGTTGACGTGCTCGAGGCTGTCTGTATCCAGTGTGAGGATTTGGGGGTTGCTCAGTAACTGTACACTTCTCTGTTTGCCCAGGGTCCCCAAGGTGAGCCTGGACCCCCCGGACAGCAGGGTAACCCAGGGGCTCAGGTAAGTGACCCCGCTTGCTTTATCGGAAGCCACTTGACTTGCCAGCGCTGGGCGGTGCAGAGAGCCAGGATCACCAAACTAACGCACAGCATGAGGAGGAGAGACAATCTGCAGCTCCACATTTAACATAGTTGTCAAACCAGAGGAGAGATAAGGAGAAATGTTTTCGCACAGTGATCGGATGTCTGGATCTGGAATGCACAGCCTGAAAGGGCGGTGGAAGTAGATTCAATAACAACTTTCTAGCGAGAAGTGGATAGACATTTGAGGAGGACAAATTTGCAAGGCTTTGGGGAGAGAGAGGAGGAGTGGGATTAATTTGGACAGCTCTTTCAAAGAGTCGGCATGGACACGATGGGCCGAATGGCCCCCTTCTGCGCTGTATGATTCTATGGCCAACCCTGGCTCTCAAATTCAGAGAGCCAGGGTTGGCCATAGATGGCTGCGCTGCCATTTTATTCTAAAGTACAAGGCAAGGACAGAGGAAAGCAGGAACATGAGGAGGCCATTCAGCCCATCAAGCCTGTTTCATCAGTTAGCTAGATCTTGGCAGAAAGGTTAATGCCAGTGCCTGCCCCTTTGACATATCCCTTTCTACTTCAACTCCCTAAATCTTTGTCTCTCTATTAAACACCCCAATTGATTTGGTCTCTACAGCTTTCTCGGGCAGAGTGTTCCACATCTTCACATCCCTCTGTGTGAACAAGTGGTCCCTGATCTCAGCTCTAACTGTGTTATGTTCTGATTTTGTCCCTTCTAATGGATCCCTTTACCAGAAGGAAGATTCGCCCACTCCAACCTCTCAATTCCATTCATTATTTTAAATAATAAAAATAATAATCTTCACAGTTGATATATCTCGATTAACTCGCCTCCTACCCTCCTCAGCTTCAGGGAAAACAACCCCAGTCTCACAAGGTCTTAACTTCTAAGATGGCTTTCTGCAGTTCTTTCCAAATTCAACAACAGAATTGCAGGGGAATTGAGTGTGTGAGTGTGAGTGTGTGAGAGTGTTAGTGTTAGTGTGAGCGTGCTAGTGTGAGCGTGCTAGTGTGAGCGTGTTAGTGTGAGCGAGCTAGTGTGAGCGTGTCAGTGTGAGCGTGTCAGTGTGAGCGTGTCAGTGTGAGCGTGTTAGTGTGAGCGTGTTAGTGTTAGTGTGAGCGTGTGAGTGTTAGTGTTAGTGTGAGCGTGTTAGTGTGAGCGAGCTGGTGTGAGTGTGTCAGTGTGAGCGTGTCAGTGTGAGTGTGTCAGTGTGAGCGTGAGCGTGTTAGTGTGAGCGTGTTAGTGTTAGTGTGAGCGTGTGAGTGTTAGTGTTAGTGTGAGCGTGTTAGTGTGAGCGAGCTGGTGTGAGTGTGTCAGTGTGAGCGTGTCAGTGTGAGTGTGTCAGTGTGAGCGTGAGCGTGTTAATGTGAGCGTGTTAGTGTTAGTGTGAGCGTGTGAGTGTTAGTGTGAGCGTGTTAGTGTGAGTGTGCCCTCGTTGCTGCTGGTTTCTCACAGTCAGGCTGGCATGTGATGCCCTGTTAAGTGACTGTGATCTGTCTTGTATTGTACAGGGTCTCCCTGGTCCCCAAGGAGCGATTGGTCCCCCAGGCACTAAAGTAAGTGGTGGACCCTCACTGGCCTCTCCTATCCATCGTGCTCACCATTTATGTGTTAATGTGTCGCTTTAAATGTAATTTACTTCTAATTCTTCTTGATTTTTAATTCTCTGCATTCAGGGTCCAACTGGCAAACCAGGGCTTCCAGGCATGCCCGGACTCGATGGCCCACCCGTAAGTTTAACCCTTTCAAACCTAGAGTGAAAGAGAGAGAAACAAGAGAGATACAGAGAGAGAGAGAGAGAAAGAGAGAGACACCCACTGAGAGAGGGAGAGAGAGAATCACTGAGAGATGCACAGAAAGAGGGAGATACACCTAGTGGAGAAACATACCAAAGGTGTGGTTAAAGAAGTATGTTTTCAAATGCGCTTTAAACCTGGGAGCAAATCAGAGGGACTCTGGGAAGGAGTTCCAGAGAGGGGGGCTGAAAGCCTGGTTGCTGATGACGGGTGGATAAGATGGGAGATAGGCCAGTGCCTGTGGAGCTAGGAGCGACAGTTGGGTAGGTGTGATTGAAGGAGGTCGCGGAGGTGAGGGTGGGGGGTGGTGTAGGGTGGGGGAGATCATGGAGAGATTTGACCATGAGAGCGAGGATCTTGAACTTGATCCACTTGGGAATGGAGTGCCAATAGAGCCAAGCCAAGATGGGAGAGCCTAGGAGAGGGAACAGGCTCCATTGATCTGGATAATCTGTAGTTTATGTAGGGAAGAGCTGTGGTGTCTGGAGAGCAGGGTGTTGGTGTAGGTGAGCCTGAATGTGATGAACAACAACAACTTGGATTTATATAGTGCCCTCCACACCGGATGGCGTCTCAGAGCGCTTTACAGTTTAGGATCCCGGGACCGAGCCAGGGGGAGGGGTGGGAAGGGAACCAAAGGTATAAAAGGTATAAACCAAAGGGATAAACGCGTGGATGAGGGTCTTGACAGCCCAAAAAAGAGGCAGAAACTGGCAATATTTCAGAAATGAGGATAATTGAGCAGGTAAGAACACGGATGCTTGACAGTCAAACAGTACCCTGAGATGCTGCACAGGCTATGTGAGGTGGAATGTGCATTCATGCAGGTTGTTGCTGCCAGCCCCTGAGGTCGAAAGGCACTAATGGGAGCCAAGATAAGCCAAAATGAAAACGACACCTCTAGACTCTTCTGTTCTGAATGTAACCCTTTCATGTGAAGAGTCACTGCAATTAATGCCTAGCCCAAAGGATGTGGTTGAGACTATAGGACATGGTTAACCTTTCAGAACATGAACTACGTGGGATGTGTTGAGCGCTGTGCCACCCGAGTTACAGATTTCTCAAGGGCATCGCTTGTCATTTCTGCCCACAGGGTCATCCTGGCAAAGAGGGTCCTTCCGGAGACAAAGGCAGCCCGGTATGTTTGCTTGTTGTCCAGTTTAAACTGATAAATCCTCTCAACAACCCAACCCTTAACTCCTCGGAAATACATTGTTTCTTGTCTGTATTCACAAGCCGGGTTTAAGCCAATATCAGATTGGAGGTGTTGTCCTTATGTGTCCTGGTGGACACTGTTGTCTCATTATAATATAATAAATAATAATCCTTGCATTTGATATAGCGCTTTTCACATCTTCTCGACGTCTCAAAGCGCTTCACAGAATAGACTGTAAAGTGAATTGACTGTATATTTGTGGGCGAAACGCGGCAGCCAATTGCGCACAGCAGCGTCCCCACAAACAGTCGTGGATTGAAAATGACCAATTTATTATTGTTTTGTTTTGGAGGGATTATTATTAGGCTCTGTGTGGAGTAAGGAAACTTGTCCAAGGTTTCGCCCTCTGCCTGGGATTGAACCCAGGTGTCTCGCTTGCAAAGCGAGTGCTCTAACCACTGAGCTACAGGACTCCATGGCGCTTACGCGCTGTTGCCCTTTTGCAGCTGCATGGTATTACGAAGTGGGGTGGGGGTGGGGGGCAACGCAGCCAGTGCTGCCACAACTGACGCATGTTATTTGTATCACACAGGGTCCCCCAGGTCCCCAGGGACCGATTGGCTATCCAGGGCCTCGTGGGATCAAGGTAAGTCAACGTGGGAGAGACGTGTTTGTCCACACACCCAAAACACCACTTTGTCTTAGTCCCTAAGACCACCTTGTGGTAAAATTTAAGATTATAAGAGTTATGGAAATTTCTTCAGGTTGGTCAGAACTTGGAATCTGTTCTTTTTCTTTAGATCTGTGGGATTCGAACATTTTAAGAATTTCCCACAATAATATTAGACAGAATGGTCTTAAAATCTAATACAAGGCGGATTGTCAGGCCACAGATGTGAAGCTACTAAACTTCTGTTCGTCAAACAGGTTGTTGAACCTTAATATTGGGTGTTGGGTCAGTATTTGGTTAGGATTGAGTATAAAAGTAGTTCCACATTGAACATCTTGCAGTCCTCTACTCTCAGACATGTGCTCTTACCTTTTCAGGGAGCTGATGGGATTCGTGGATTGAAAGGAACCAAAGGTCTTAAGGTGAGCACATCTCTTGGGAAGGAATATTGGGGGAAAGGGGGGAGGGAGTTGCTGACACTGGTCCAGGAGTGCCAGTGTTTAGTGTGTGATGTGCAATAGTGCCCAGTGTTCAGTGTGTGATGTGCAATGGTGCCCAGTGTTTAGTGTGTGATGTGCAATGGTGCCCAGTGTTTAGTGTGTGATGTGCAATGGTGCCCAGTGTTCAGTATGTGATGTGCAATGGTCCCCAGTGTTCAGTGTTGAAGCAAAGGGCAGCGGGTCCTGCCCTTTGCTTCAACCAACCAAGATAAAGAACAATTCCTCACGAATTTTGCCAACTCCATATTTAAACGTTGTCTCTTTACACCATTGCTCACACTCCAGTGCTCACACACCAAACGGATCTGTGCCAGTGTTTATTAACCACATAAGCTTCACCCATCCCACCCCCTCTCTATAATCAGGAGGGTAAAGGAGGGGAGGCAGCAGGACACAGTGAGACACAGGCAAGGTGTGAACGGAGTAGTGCTGTTGACCTCTTCGACCGTGCCTTCGGGCACATCACCCGCCCCTACCCTCCTGCCCTCCAACCCTCCTGATCCCAACCACCAGCTTCGGCGCGGATCCCTGACTATCCAGCACCTTGGGACGTCCTCCTAGCTACATAAATGTAATTTGTTGCTGTTGTTGCTGGTTTCATCCTCTGGTGTGTTGTTTGACAGGGTGAAGAAGGCTTCCCAGGATTCAAAGGCGACATGGGAATAAAGGGCGACAGAGTGAGTAATCCGCCAACCTCTGTCTTTATCCCCAGGGTCAACAATCAGCAACACTCATCTAGTCTTAGCCTGTCACACTCGCTCACTCTTACAATACATATCCTGAAACTGGGTGACAGAGACCGCGAGTGAGTGAGACTGGGAGTAATAGAGACTGGACTTGAGTCACACACAGTAACAAAGATGGGGAGTGAGTCACACAGAGTGACAGAGACTGGAAGTGAGTTACACAGAGTGACAGAGACTGGAAGTGAGTCACACAGAGTGACAGAGACTGGAAGTGAGTCACACAGAGTGACAGAGACTGGAAGTGAGTTACACAGAGTGACAGAGACTGGAAGTGAGTTACACAGAGTGACAGAGACTGGAAGTGAGTCACACAGAGTGACAGAGACTGGAAGTGAGTCACACAGAGTGAGAGACTGGGAGTGAGTTACACAGAGTGAGAGACGAGGAGTGAGTCACACAGCGTGACAGACTGGGAGTGAGGTACAGAGTGAGAGACGAGGAGTGAGTCACACAGAGTGGCAAAGAGACTGGAAATGAGTCACACAATGAGGCACAGAGAATGAAGCTTTTATGCGTGATGTACTCTGTGCAGGGGGAGCTCGGGCCTCCGGGACCCAGGGGCGAGGACGGGCCTGAGGGCCCTAAAGGTCGTACGGGCCCCATCGGAGAGTCAGGGCCAGCAGGACCCGTGGGTGAGAAGGTAAGAGACCCTCCCAGGCCAGCTGTGTGTTAATGAAACATCTCTAGAGGTCACAAGACCCACTGGGCAAATAATAGGTCTGAACTAGACCCAAAACCTTCCCAAGCCTCAGTCAGGGATGGCTCTGGGCCGAGTTTAGGCCTGTTGTTTGTCTTGAGATGTAAGATGGCACAGACTTGGTGCAAAAGTTTTAACCCCAGACGTAATTTCCTGCTGTTCTTAAAAAAACACACCAGCTTCCAAATAAAGATTGAATAATTTTTCACCATTCATATTATATTATTGATGTAATAAACTTACAATTTACATTGCGATGTAATTTTGCGATTTAAAAAAAAACTTATACACATTCACATTTATTTAATAAAGCAAAGGAAAAGGGAAGTGGGTTTCTCCTGGCCGACAATCGTCCAAGTTGATTGGTCATTCACTTCACGGCTGCTTGTGTGCCGCAGTCACTACACTTAATAGAAATGATTTGTGAAAGGTCTGAAGCTTTGTGAAGTGATAAGGTGCTATAGGAATGATTGCCTATGATTGTGCGCTGAGTCATTATCAATGAATCCCATCCCCTGATTGTGTTCTGTGTTGTGCAGGGCAAGCTGGGAGTGCCAGGCTTACCGGGGTACCCGGGTCGACAAGGGCCGAAGGTAAGTGCCACGTCATTACTCGCACTCTCTTTGGGGGAAGATCAGCTGGATGTCCGACACTCAGAAACCCATCATTGTGCTTAAGAGTATCCAAACCATGTGAGAATTCTGCAGAGGTATCTTACCTACACATGCTGTGTATTGGAATGGAATACACACTCTCTCCCTGGATGGACGCATTCCTGCTTACCTAATACCGGAGAGTGTTAGGCGCAAGTTGGCGAGAGCCAAGGCTTGGGGTAGCTCGGAGTTTGCGTTGGGGTAACTGCTGGAGTCTAACCAGCTAAACCCCCATAAGTTGCCATTGAGAGCACTGTGTGGCAAACTTTCCCGCTGCTTGTCCAGCTAGGACCATCCTATCCATAAGGGCTTTGGCCCGCAGGCTTAGCAGGAGCTGAATGGGATGACTCCCTGCCCCCAGTGACTGGTCTGCCCTTCCAGGTTCTGCCAATGAGCCAGGCTGGGCTGGTTTGTTATGAACAGTGCCCTGGAGTACTGTGGACTCACCTGGCTCAGGAGCCGGACTAGAGACCGTCACTGAGGGTGGGCTTGATTCCAGCTGTGTCACCTTGGAGCCAGCTTAGCTCTAAAGAGACCCTGTTTACCTCCAACCCCACAAACTATAGGATATAATAGAACACAAACTAGTGTTAGTTAAGTTCTATTCCTCATTTAACCTTAAAATGATACTCGGAAACATTTATCGCTTCCCAAGCAAAGTAATTTGTACACTGGGGTGAGAGGTGTTGTGAATGTGTTGGTGCTGGGCTGGAGGCTTACGTGCAAGTGAGTTGGACACAGTCGGGCCAGTCACCGAGTGTCTGAATGTGACGCGCCTCTCACAAGATCAGCAGTTCATCCGTTCATTGATTGACCGTTTGCGGAGACAGATACAGTGACCGTTTCTCTCTCATTCTTCCCAGGGTTCCATCGGATTCCCAGGGTTCCCAGGAACAAACGGGGAGAAAGGAGCGAGGGTAAGGTCCTGTGGCATGTGTGGTTAACCGCTGTCAGCAGCGCGTGGGCGAACGATTGTCGCGGTGACTGGCAGCAGGGAGGGGAGGGGAGGGGACTGGTGTGAAGGCGGTGCTGTGTGGGGTGCAATCCCTTCGCTGCTGTATTTATACTGTGATTGAGCTGCGGGGATTGAGGGGGGTGGGGGTGATGGAGACTCTGTTGCGTGTGTAATAGAGACAAATGCAGTGGGCTGGGGTTGGGAACACAGATTGGGAAAGGGGCATAAGTTTGGGCACAAGTTTAGACCCAAGTTATACCCCATAATCTTAAAATTCGAGCGGAGGCGGTGAGGAATAAGTTCAGGAAACTTTTCTGCATAGGGAGGGAGGTGTTCCGGGGGTGGTGGGGTGGGGGTTAGGGGGTATACATGACCGCACACAGACGCAGAATCGCACGGGTGGGGGGGAGGGTGTTGACCCTTGTCTGAGTGAGTGAGCGAGTACCTGTTCTTTCAATGTCCCTTCCAAGTTTCCAACCAATTTCTGGTCAGGAAACGAGGCTTGGGCTCGGGAGTGGTATTTAATTCACTGGCAGTTCTGGCCCCCTAATCGATGTGACTAACAAATGATCGTTCCAACCTCCAAAGCCGATCAGCGCATCTGTGGCCCAGGAACCGTGCTGTTAGACCCTGTGCGATGAACTGTGTGAGCTGCATTCGCACCGATAATAATCAGCAACCAGTGGAGCACACGCTCACACCTCACCTCCAGCGCATCTGATCCGAAGTTATAAGGAATCCTCTGAGCGGCTGGGCACGTACTGGGCCATCGCTGGCCGGACACGGGACTGGGTGGTCTCGAGGAATGCAGTGGCCGCGAGGCTTGGTGGGAGCCGAGCTATGACGCCGAGGGCTTTGTGCTGCTGTGCGTTTGGAGCTGGCCCAGCGAGGGGTTCCAATCCCAGCCAGCAGCTGCGCGAGAGCCAGATGTTTCAGCCGGAGAACTGGGTGGACACAGACCTTCAGAATAATCCACAGTAATCTACAAGACAAGGCTGGAACGTGGGCAAAGCTGTTCGGCTTCGTCCCCGGAGAATTCGCTCTCCAGCCTCGCAAATTAACCCTCTCACGACCGCATGTGCGCCCACATGACAACATTCTATGGTCTCCGCACTTGCTGTGGATCCAAACCAACTGGCTTGTCGTTCAAGCGGGTGTAACAGCTCCACAGACTTTATTGCTTACTCCCTCTCTCCCCTGCGCTCTCCCTCCCCCTGCCCTCTCTCCACCACTCCCTCTCTCCCCCACACCCTCTCTCCCACACTTCCTCTCTCCCACCCGCCCTCGCTCCCCCCGCATACACTTCCCCGGCTCCTCCATCCCCTCCCTGCTCTCTCCCCCGTCATCTCTTCCCCCCCACCCTATCTCCCCCCTGCTCGCCCTCGCTCCCTCCGCAAACTCTCCCCCTCTCCTCCCTCCCCTCCCTGCTCTCTCCCCCTGTCACCCCTTCCCCCACCCTCTCTCCCCCCTGCCCGCTTCCCTCCCCGCCCCCTCTCCCCCCACTCTTTCTCCCCACCGCCCTCCCCCATTCCCCCAGAGAGGAGTCTGGCGTGTGTTAACCTCGGTAGGGAAGCACCCACAACCGTGGGGCGGGAATAGGAATCTACGAGATTTAAGCGACCGACAAGCCGCCGTGCCATGTAGGGTTAACATGTGCAGCGCAGTCCAGGAAGTGTATGACAGAGAGTGGAAAGCTTACATCACTGCTGTTTACTGCAGTGTACAATCTGTTCTGATTGCTCACAGACCTGTGTTCTCTGCTCCACACATTTGAACGACTTCCAGGGAACACTGATGGGAGGAGAAGGAGGTGGGGGTGGGGTGGGGGGGGGGGGGGGAGGGAGGGAATGGAGGATGTTTGAGACAGTTTGGGAATGTTGCTCACATTTCTCGCTGCAAGTCTTTAGCTGCCCCAGATGAGCTCTGAGGGCACAGCATGTTCCAACTTACAGCAGGCATCTCCTCAACAGGGCTCTGACTTTCACGTCAGCCTGGCTCAGTCGCTCGCACACTCACCTCTGGGACAGAAGATTGTGGGTTTAAACCCCATTTCAGGGCTTTGGGCTCACAATCTGGGCTGATGCTCCAGCGAGATTCTGGGGGGGATCGCTGCATTGTCGGAAGTACCGTCCTTCGAATGAGACGCTAAGTCGAGCTGCCTATCTGCCCGTTCAGGCGGACGTTAAATATCCCACAGCACAATTCAAAAAGAGGATGTTTCTCACCAACAATCCCCAAATAAAATTGACTTTGTGGCTGTACGCGGGGCCTTGCTGTGCCTAAATTGGCTGCCGCGTTCTCCTACAAAACACAGGGTCAATACACTTGACTGTAATTACTTCTGGAACACTTTTCAACATGTTGAAGCACTTTAAAATGCAAGTTCTTTCTCTCTCTAAGTTTCTTGCAGCAACCAGTTCACAGGGCCTCCCAAGTTTCTCCTACCAACTGTAGTGACTATGCATTTGTAGGCAAACAGGGCAGCCACATTGCAGGGCGAGAGATCCCACAAACAGACCACGTTACTGGGCTCTGGAGTCAACTCTTCCCCCCTCCCCCCCCATCTCGCCCCTGCACCTCCCCACTGCATTCTCCCTGGTTCAATGCCAGCATCTCACTCGAGTGCAGTTGTTGTTAAGTTTGACTCTTAACATGTTTTGGCTCCTTGTTCGCGCTTGCAGCTGAAACAGGAGGGAGCTGGGGGTTTTTCAGTGTAATAAATACAAGGTAAACCACACAGGGTGTCAGTCTGGCTTAGTCGCTTGCGCTCTCGCCTCTGGGTCAGAAGGTTTGGGTTCAAGCCTCCTCGTTGGCAATTTGAGCTCACGTCCAAGTTGACCCTCCACCTCTGCAGTGTGGGGAGTGCTGCATTGATGGAGGTGCCGTCCTTCGCATGAGACATTAAACCGAGATCTCGTCAGTGCCTGTTCAAGTGGATATTAAAATCACCTTGGCACTGCACGAAAACAGAAGGCATTTTCTCCCGTTGTCCTGGCCAACAATTCCCCAGTTAAAATTAGTCATTTTACGGCTGTGTGTGGAACATTGTGCTCAAATTGGCTGCCGCATTCGCCTACAAATAGTCACTCCACAAGTGTTTGGAAGCGTTTTGAGACTCTAGGAGCAACAACAAATTGCATTTAGATCGCGCCTTTCACATCGGGAGGACGTCCATAGCACTATCAAACGAGAGGATGATGATTAACAGACAATTAATATTACTTCCTCCGACTCGTGAGAAACATGGTGTGTCGTGCGGAAAGAGTGATGAATGTGCAACAGGAGGGATGTCAGGACAGATCACGTATTCCCATTAATAACTGGTTGTCTTTTGTTCCCGTGTTTAGGGTACACCAGGGAAACCAGGTCCAAGGGGACAGAGGGGCCCGACGGTATGAACTCAAGTTACTCCCCATCACGCCGATTAAATAGTTTCTTATATTGTTGTGGAGATATTTCCTTTTTTTTCGTTTGAATGACGTGAACTAATTTTTTTTCCCTGATGGACGATCTCTTAACTGTGTTTTCTTTGGCTCCTCACAGGGCCCACGTGGTGAGCGAGGCCCAAGAGGTTCCACAGGAAAGCCTGGCCCTAAGGTAGGTGTCCTTTCTGCTGAGCCCATTTGCTCCCCCGCCCCACCTCCAACCCCCTCCCTTTGCCTGTCACATGGGGTGAGACCCCCTCCCATCCTCCCACCCCCCCCCCTCCTTCCCGCAACTCATCCCAATGGTTTGATTCCACAAAGAACAGAGAAGTTGAGCAAAATGGTGATTGCAAATACAAAGCATTGTGTTGGCCCTGACCTCGGTTGCTTTGTGTGGCCAAAATAACACGTCTTGTTACCCCCCTCCACTCCAATATTGTGCCCCTCCACCCCCGGCTCCCACACGCACATACATTGGGGAGGGCGTGTTGCTCTCTGATGTTTTTATGGACTTTTCCCGTCAGGAAAGAGTGCCATTGTGGACGGCATTGACTGCGGTTCCGAAAACCACATGAGCGTTCTGTTCCCCCTGCCTCGCGCCCATCGCCCCTCCTCTCACGCATACACTCACCACCCCAATCGTCCCTCCTTCTCCTCCTCGCTCCAGCAAAAAACACTGAGCTAAGGATCCCGCTGTTGATGTCCTCCTTACTTTGTCCTTGTTGGTTCTGTGAGTCTCTGGGTGAGATGTGGAGACCTGTAGTGGTTAGCATGCCTGCCTCGCATGCAAGAGGACATGGGTTTCATTCCTTGGCAGGGCAAAACCTTAAGGAAGTTTCCTTACTCCACACGCCTCTGTTTACCTTGTAATTAGTAGGAACCCATTTTTTAGTTGATTGGCAGATGGCTTTCCGGGGGTGATAATCCCTCCCCACAACCTGGAGGGTAATCACTCAATCCGCGACTATTTGTGGAACACTCCTGTGCACAATTGGCTGTCCCTTTTCACCCACAAAATACACAGTCCGTCCATTTTATTATACATTCTGTGAAGCGCTTTGAGACATCTCAATGACGTGATAAGGCGCTGTATCAAATGCAAGAATTATTATCATCATTATTATGTTTGTTTGTTTACAGGGTACCTCAGGGAATGATGGACCGCCCGGGCCATCAGGCGAGAGGGTAAGGATTGCCAAGCGGGAGGAGCTGGCCATGACCAGTGGTGCCGTGGGCAGGGAGGGGGTCAGTCCAACACAACCTTTCAGAGCAGAGCAACACAGTGAGTGGGACCGTCAGTCTCTGGGCCAAGATCCTGAGACAGCTCTGCCATAGGGAGACCACAAACAGGAGTATCTCAGCTCAGAAGCACATCTAGCTTCCTCACCTGCATCAGAAGTTTATGGGTTCAAACCCAAGTCGAACCTTGAACTCACAGTCTAGACTGATGCTCCAATGCAGTATGGAATGGGATCGCTTGTATTAGTGGAGGTGCCGTCCTACGGATGAGATGTTAAACCAAGGTCCTATCATAAACCATGGTTAATGATCTTGAGGCACTATTGGAGAAGGAGAGAGAGTTTATCCAGGATCCTCGCTGACGATCCCCCAAAGAAATCATCAGATGTGTACACATTGGCTGCTGTGTTTGCCGATAATTGACAGGCACTACACTGACACTGATCGCCTGTGAAGCTTGTTGATGGGTTTCGGCGTGAGATCAGATCTAAGGATTATTTATTTATTGGTCGCTCCTGTTTCTGCTGTGATAGTGACTGGGATGAACAGATGGCAAAAGCTGTGCAGCTTTTCTTTGGCAAACGTTGGCGTGGTCTGGGATGATATGTTGAGTATTGACTCAGGTCAGATTCCCTGCTGGGTTTGGTCTCTGGGCCATGGACAACTGCTGTTGGGTCGGCTACTGCTCAGAGATCCCTACCAGGGCCTTGGTGCAGGGTAGTGGCAAAGAAGTAGCTCGACTATGACTGAGGGAAGCAGAGGTTCCAGCCTTTGCACTCCTTGCGCAAATTACGCTGCTCATCACACACAAGCCAGGTTTCTGATGTGAGCCTCATCATAATCGTCTGTCATCCTGGCTCAGCCACACTGATCTCTGGGTCAGGCCCTGAGTTCAAGTCCCCACGTCGGGGACTTTGAGCTCACAGTCCAGCCGGACACTTCAGTGCCGTGCTGGGGGAGCTGTGCCATAGGTGCCGTCTTTTGGATGAGACATCAAATCTGTGGCTGTTCAGGTGGACTTTAAAAATCTTACCGGCGCTATTTGAAAAGAGAAGGGAGTCTCTCCAGCATCCTGGCCAACAAACAAATGTGCGCAAATTGGCTGCAGGTTTGCCTACAAAATGTACCGTCACTGCACAGGACGTGCTGAAGTTTTGATGTGATAAGAGATTATTTCTCTCTTTGTGTCTTTTCAACGTGTGTTTCTTTTACAGGGGCCTCCAGGACCTCAAGGACCCACTGGATTTCCAGGTCCCAAAGGCCCTCCCGTGAGTCACTGCAGATCCTCAGCTGCTTTCACACTGTAAACATTAGCTAAAGATTCCCCCCTCCCACCCCCCCACCCTATAAAATAAGAGCTGAGAGGTTTTTAGATGTAATTTGTATCTTTATTTACTCGTAGCAGTTTGCAGTCACGTTTCTCCAGCTCAGTAACTGCTAAGAAATGTTAACAATCTCCCGAAGATTAATGGTTCAGTTTATTAATGAGTAAATATTGCCTCCGTGTTCCAGCCTGTCTGATTCCCACGGCAGCTAATTCTCTGTCAATCCGTAGGGCCCGGCAGGGAAGGATGGTTTGCCCGGACACCCAGGGCAGCGAGGTGAAACCGTAAGTAACTGTTCTCTTCTCTGACGTTCGGTCAGTTTACCTGCAACTCCCTACGTTACCTCCTGGCAGTCGACACTAACCCCTCAGACACACGAGTGTCAGAGACAAGACTCTGGCTTCAACTCAGACCCACATCTTTGGGACTCAGTGAAGCACAGACATCCTCTACACAGAGAGAGGCCAACTGACCCATCTCGTCTGTGCCCTTTGCATCTGTATTTCTAAATTGCCCTTTTTTATTAATCCCACTTTCTGTTGCTCTCCCTGCTGCCCTCAATGCTTTTCCTGCTTGGAAGCTGATCCGCTTCCCTTTTGAATGTCTCTGTTTTTCCAGCCTCAGTAGCCACTCGTGGTGATAAGTTCAGACTCAGACAAGCCTCTGAGTGAAGAAATCCCTTCTAATCTCTGCCCTTAGTCTCTGCTAACATTCCTGAGCCTGTGACCCTCGTTCCCTCCCATTCCCCAACTAACGCAATAGCTTCTCCCTCTTTACCATCTCGCGTCGCTTCAGTATCTCAAAAACCTTGATCGCAGTCTCTTCTTATTCTCCTCATCGCCAGCGGAGAAACTCCCACTTTATCTCAGCCTCTCTTTTAGATGTATGTCTCAAACCCAGGATCATCCCAGTGAATCTGTGCTGTCCCCTATCCTTCTCTATATTCTGGTTTTGCCCATTAAATACACTGTCACTCCACTTTACAGCAATATTCTGTGAAGTGCTTTGAGTCATCTCGATGATGTGATAAGGTGTTATATCAAAACAAGGATTATTTTTCATATTTTCATCCAGATTCATCTGAGTGCACATCTAGAAGATAACATTGCTCCATTTGAAAGGAAAAGTTCAAGAATTGTTTAAATTAACCTGTCAACGTATCTCTCCACAGGGTTTCCAGGGCAAAACAGGCCCCCCTGGGCCTCCTGGTGTGGTTGGACCACAGGTGAGCACTTCTCAATGATGAAAAACATATAATTCCAGGACTAATTTGTTTTATGTAGTGTTTGAGGACCCCCCAGTGATGTGAATTTGCTTTCTCTCTCAGCACATGTGCTTGTGCCACCAACTCAAGGCTCTTCCCTTTGTGGCTTAGAAACATAGGAACAGGAGAAGGCCATTCAGCCCCTCAAGTTTGTTCCGCCATTCCATAAGATCATGGATGATCTGTACCTTAACTCCAATTATCCGCCCTTGCCCTGTATCCCTTCATACCCTGACCCAACAAATAAATATCCACTTCAGTCTTGAAAATGTGAATGGCTTGGCTGAGTCAGTCCAAGGTTGTGGGTTCCAGCCCCCCACACCAGCTCCCCCACCCCCCGTTGGGGATTTTGAGCTGCGTCTACCATTTTTTCACTTCAAAAATGCTAAATGAATGACGGTGTAATGACGATTTGGAGAGAATTGGAAAACCCACTGATTTTTACTGATCAGAAACCGACAATCTGTTCTATACACCCCCCACCCCACACCCACACCCACCACCGACTTTGGCACAATTGTTTTGCCCGAAGCCACTTCCGAGAAGTTCAAGCGCTGCCATTTATCCGGGCCCCCAATTGTTCCTAATCTAGAGCTGAAAAATGCGCTATTTCGTAAGCGATTCAATAGGATCACAGTTAGTGGGGAGTGTGACGTGTTTCTGACTGACTCTGTGTGTTTGTGTGCCAGGGCGCCACGGGAGAAACAGGCCCACTCGGGGAACGTGGTCACCCAGGACCTCCTGGCCCTCCAGGGGAGCAGGGCCTTCCTGGGTCGGCTGGCAAAGAAGGTTTGAAGGTGAGCGGCTAACATTCCTCCTCAATATCAGCTCCACACTTGAAGAACACCAGAGGTGAATGTAGGGAATCCTTTAAAGAAGTAAAAGGCAAAGAAAGAGCCAGTGAGACAAAGACAGGGAGTACAATGATAAGCTGTTTTATCTTGTGCTGAACAGTGGAACCAGTGGACACGGCCTGCGATTGAAGGGACGTAAATCCAAAACAAATCTGCGGAAACACTACTTCAGTGAGCGAGTAGCAAACAGGCTCCCTAGGGAGACGGTGGAAGCAGCAAATGTCATTTGTTTCAAGAACAAATTAAATAGATTTCTGCTAGAAAATAATATCTGTATATAGTTTGGGACACAATATGTCAAGCTAATGCCAGGATGGTGGAAGGCGAACTAGGTAGACCTTGGTCATCTTTCGCCAGCAAATTCTTATGCTCTTAAGTTCTTAAGTACAAATGAAGTGGGAGATGGATGAAGTGGGGGTGATTGATGGATTGGAGTGCTCTCAATTGAGAATAAAGAAATCTACTAACACACCTGGGCTTTAGATTGAGCGTTATTACAGTGAAGACTGGGATTAAATTTCCCTACTCCCAGCCCGAGAGACCATTTTGTCTTAAAATTGGGGCAGAACTGTGGAAAATTCTTAAATCTAGCCTCCGTCCGGAAGACGGTTTTCCATAGTTCTTTCTTAAAAAATTTAAACAAAAATGAAGAATTTTCCACAATTCTGGACCATATTAAAGACAAAGTAGAAAAGGACGCGGACTGGACAGGCAAAGGCGCTTTGCAGGTCATTGACGTTGTCAAGGGTACGAAGGAAAGCATCCATGTAGAACAACAACTTGCATTTATACAGTGCCCTTCAGGATGGGTATTGTCTTGGAACGCTTAGAGAGAAACTTTAATGACTTAATCATTAGGTTTGTGGTCCATATTAGAAGCTACAGCTCTCTCGGTCTTTCACTCTGGCCCCACAATTCATTTCTGTTCCTCTCGTGTGCACCACAGGGTGACCCTGGTCCATCCGGACCTCCCGGCAAGGATGGACCCCCAGGACTCCGAGGCTTCCCTGGTGATCGAGGTCTTCGTGGCCCTGTTGTAAGTAGAGATCTGACCTTTGAGCCTGGAGTATCCCAGTGGCTGGGTGTGAGCATTGTTCTGAACATCTAACGCTGCTTCTTCTTTCTCGTTTGATCCTCACAGGGTAACCTCGGTCTGAAGGGCAGCGAAGGGCCTCCAGGTCCCCCAGGCCCATTGGTGAGTAGGTCACAACCTTGTGGAGAAATTGATCTGGGTGTGGGGGGGGTGGAGTGGCGCGGTGGGAGGAGGGTTGCCAATTGGCTAATTCTGAAGCACATTAACCGAGGTTTGTATTTTGAGCTGGTTCAGATTTGGGATTATTTGGGTAAAGAGAGACAGCACTTTCAAAGCTCGGAGGCTGAGATGGGCAAGACTATAAGATGTAGCATTTGATATGCGCCTTTCACACTGCAGTAACCAGTGTCAGATATCAGTTAGCAAAGTCGCCTCCACAGGGAGGGGACAGAAGGACTCCATAGGGAGGGATCATGGATATTATGGGAGTTTTAAGCCCGAGCACAAAATGAGATTTGAATCATTCAAAAGGGAAATGGATGAACAGCTGAGCGGTAAAAGCAACGAGGGATGTGGAGAGACAGAGATGGAAACTGGGATTAATAAAAGAAATGGGGGCAATTTTGAAAAATGGGAACCAAATGGCCTCCTTCAATGCAGATCATTGTGTGTATATGTACGTACGCGAGTGTGTGTGTGTGTGTGTGTGACAAGTGGTTCAGAAAGGGGTCTCCATCCTGAGTGCTTTAGAAGTGCCAGGCAAAGTCTGCACTCGACAGATAGCTAAAAATCTGTTATCCCCCACCCGCCATTTCCCCTTCTCATGGTAAGGTGGGTCTGATGTCTTGCTGAGGATGAAACTCGATGTCAGCCAATTAACAACTGCAATGCCTCACGAGCTGCCCTTGTATCTCTTACTGAAGCCGCTCTGACACCAAAGTTCTAGATTGTTGGTTTGAGGTGTGCACTAATCTTTAACCTTCACATTTGATAGGGCTCCCCAGGCGATCGAGGACAAGCCGGCCCAGCGGGTCCCATTGGCCTGCCAGGGCGGCCCGGACCTCAAGGACCTCCGGGACCTCTGGTGAAAAGGGAGCCCCGGTGAGTATAGCTCTCAGTGACTTCAGCGGTCATCTCCGCACTCTGGCCATCACTCTAGTCTGTGGCTGGACACAACACTTACCCCAATCCACACTCTGGGGTCCTCAAACCTTTGCTCTTCCCAACCTACGCCTAATACTCTTCAGGAGTAGGTGAGCAGGAGTGAGTCCAATCACCGTTCCAAACAACGGAAACCAGAGGTATGAGAAACTCTCAGTGGTTTGGTTTGCACACTCAGTGATGGATTTCCTAGTGTGTTGGATGTCCAGTTGACCTCAACAGAACCTGGCAATGCTGATACGAACTATAGCCGAGACAGAGCTCTAAGCAGGAAAGCTTAAAAGAGAAGGCTTCATATCCTCCCAAGATTCAGACTTTTCCTCTGTGTACAAGCAGAGATAGCAGAGGTCACACACAGATCACAAAACTCAACCCGATCCCGTGTTTAAAACTTGAGATCTATTTGGCCAAGTGATTGGCCAGTGGTGGGTCTGACAAACTGATCAATCCTCTGGAGAAAAGTTCACCTTAACGTCTGACTGTTCAGGTGGATGTTCAAGATCCTTGATGGGAGTTTCTCTCAGTGTCCTGGCCATCAGTCCTCCAGATAAAATTGATCATTTCCTTCCTGAATATTTGCGGCTTCTTGTAGCGTGCAACATTGGCTGTTGTGTTCACTTTCCAATACACTCATAGTAAATCCTGTGAAACACTTGGAGACGTTCCAGTGTTATGATAAAGTGCAATATCAAATACAAGGATTAATATTAGCAGCAGGAGTATTCCTGGCATACTAGTTGTAAGTTATAGGAAGGATCTGGTATCTGAGGATCCTTCCTCTCCATTGGACTCTTTAACCTGGTCTCTGAACCAGTGAGTTTGGAAAGCTGGACTCAATGGCTCTTTCAGAGAATAAACTCCTAGTCTGGCTCAATTGGTAGCACTCGACCCTCTTGAGTCAGAAGGTTGGGGTTCAAGCCCTATGTTGGGCCTTGGATCCCATATAGTCTAGACTGACTCTCTAGTGCAGTGCAGAGGGAGTGCAGGATTGTTGGAAGTGGATGAGATGTTAAGCTGAGGTTCTGTCTGCCTGTCCAAGTGGACATTAAAGATTCCACGGCACTATTCAAAAAGAGAAGGGAGTTTCTCTCTCCTGGTGTCCTGGCCAACAGTTTCTCAGAAAAACTTTCTCACTTGTTTCATGTCTGTTTGTGAGACATTGCTCTGAGCAAATTAGCTGCCACGTTTGCCCAGAAAATACACACAATCACATCACTTTGGATTGTATCCTGTGAAGCGCTTTGAGACATTTCGACGACGTGATAAGGCACTACATCAAATGCAAAGATTATTATTAATATTTTATTGTTGTTGATTCAAGTAGTCCAGGAGATGATGATTCTGTGTCTTTCCTCATCTCTAGGGTGAGAAAGGACCCCAGGGGCCAGCAGGCCGAGACGGTATCCAGGGCCCAGTAGGTCTTCCTGGCCCAGCAGGTCCTTCAGGCCCTCCAGGTGAAGATGGAGACAAGGTGAGGAAATAGCAGCACTGACATTTCAGGCCACAAAATCTTCCCTTCCTCATTGAGGAGAACATCATCAGTCCCCTTTCCTACCCCTTACACGCCTGTGATGCCCAATCTGGGGCGGGGGTGGGGATTGGTGTTTGGGGGAGTGGGGGAGGGTGGGCGCAATGCTTCTTTGTGAGAGGTGCCGTCCTTCAGATGAGATGTTAACCCGAGGTCCTGTCTGCCTGTTTGGGGTTGATATTGAGGATTCCGTGACACTATTGGAAAGCAGAAGGGAGTTTCTGGTGTCGTGGCTGACAATCCCCCAGATAAAATTGTTCATCACCTCCATGGCCGTTTTTGGACTGTGCTGTATACAACTTATCTGCTGCCAGTTACGCCCACCAAAATACACAGTCAATCCACTTTACAATACGTCCTGTGAAGTGCTTTGAGGCATCTCGACGACGTGATGAGGCAAATGCAAGGATTATTATTATTAATAAATGCACAATCGCTGTACTTTACAGCAATTCCCAGTGAAGCAAATGCTTTGAGATGTTTTGATGTTGCATCACTGTGTTAAACGGGCAGGTTATTAATATTATTTTAGACGTACTGTAGAGCCCGAGCGTGTGAGAATGTGAATAATCAGGAGGGGGACTCATCTCTGAGCAGCAGCTTGCATTCATTCTGTCTGATTACAGCTACAGGACAGCCTAGGCCACCCTCGTTGTAAAGACTGGTGGAAACTGAGGTGTATTTCCGTCGACGATATCCATGTGTCTCTTTGTAAAGGACAATGACTCAAATCTTTTCCTCTTTTTTGTTTGGATCAGGGTGAAATTGGCGAGCCAGGTCAGAAGGGAAGTAAAGCTGAAAAGGGAGAGCAGGTGAGCAGGCCTTCCACTCAGGAGGCTACATCTGAAAGTCTTTAATTCTGCAAAGCGGCATGACTCTAGGAGGATGTACTGTAGAAGCCTGGTCTGGGCTGTGTTGTGTTTCCTCTGCCAAATCCCCATTAGTTAATGTGAAGCAGGTAAGAATGCCGATCGACTGCACTGTGGTTTCCTCTGATGAAAGTAGCTTCAGGAATGTCTCACCCTCAACGTGCTGGACTTGCCAAACACGTGACAACGTTCCCTATTGGAGGCGGGTCTATCTGTTCAGGTGGACGGTAAGGATCCGAGGAAGGGAGCAGAATTTCTCCAGGTGTCCTGACCCACATCCTCCAGATAAATCACTCACTCGCTTCGTGGTTGTGTGCAAGGACCTTTCATGCGCAAATTGCCTGTCGAGTTGCCAACACATACAGTCACTACACTTGAAAGCAATTACCTGTGAAGCACCTTGAGACATTTTGATGCTTTAGGCGCTGTGTAAAAATTCATATTATTATTAATAGTGGCTAACAGGAAATCTGGCTCTAACGCATCATCTCCTGTCTTAGGTTGACCTTTGACTTGGTGTACTCACTCTGACTGGTTTCTGGTGTTTTCTTTCTAGGGTCCACCTGGCCCTTCAGGTCCTCAAGGCCCAATTGGACAGCCCGGCCCGGCTGTAAGTACTGCACTATCCTGTTCATCTTCCTGTTTTCAATGACGCTGTGTTAGGATTGCTAACTCCGCCAGTCAGGGGCACGGAGAGAAATGACAATGGCACTGCCTTGGTTATGTTCTAGGGTGCTGACGGTGAGCCTGGACCCAGAGGGCAACAGGGTCTCTTTGGCCAGAAAGGAGATGAAGGTCCAAGGGGTTTCCATGGTCCTCCCGGTCCAGTTGGTCTTCAGGTCTGTAATATCACAATACACAGACTATTCCGCTAATGATCAATTTGTAATGTACGCCATTGGACCTTCTATATCTCAGACATTGCTTTCATAATCCAACATCCTACTCATAGAATCACAAGATTGGGTTGTTCTCCCCCCCCCGTCATTGGAGATCCCATTTGCCCATAAAATACACCGTCAATTCACTTTACAGTATATTCTGTGAAGCGCTTTGAGACATCTAGAAGATATGATAATGCGCTATATCAAATGCAAGGATTATTCCTCTTATTCCTCTTATGGGTTCCAGCTGTCCGAGATTCCAATGCACTGCATTGTTGGAGGTACCATTCTTCAGATGAGACGTTAAACCAAGATCCTGTCTGCTTGTTCAGATACTATTCGAAAGTTTCTCCGGGTGTCCTGGCCAACAATCCCCTGAAAAAAATCGGTCTCTCACTTCATGGCTGTTTGAGGAACATTGCTGTGCGCAAATTGGCTGCCGTGTTCGCCTACAAAATGCACCGTTAAGCACTTTAGACATTCTCCTGATACGAGAGGCAGTGTATCAAATACAGAGTTATTATTCCCCTGTTCATTCTCCACCCTGTCTGGGCTTCTGCTTGGGCTTGTTCCCCGACTGAAGCTCTCCACGTGACGTTGCCTGTAAATCAGTCAATGATTACAGGTTGAAAGGGGCAAAACTAAAGAGATGTTGAGGTGAGACGAAGCTGTTTTTGTTTAAGATGTGTTGACGTAATAACTGATTCCCATTAAATCTTGACTCCTTACAGGGATTACCAGGCTCAGCAGGTGATAAAGGTGAAACGGGAGATGTGGGTCCAATGGTAAGTGTTTATATTGGACAATCCTCTGAGTTATTGAGTTGAATATCACACAGTGGAGGATGTTACTGATCTGCATAATCATTCCTCCTCTTTCCAGGGTCCCCCTGGCCCTCCAGGACCCAGAGGTCCCTCCGGTGCTCCAGGAGCAGATGTGAGTATGCTCTCTCTTGTATCACGTTTCCTCTATTGAAACCATGGGCCCATCCCCTACCTCTGCAATGTCCTGCTCCCTCCCTCTGCTCTGCCAGCACTGACTCTCTCCCCTCAGGAGCTCTGCCCCACCAACGAGGGACAGGTTTTCAGCCACTTCATCCCCACTGTCTGGAACTCTACTTTCCCTGAATCTCTCCACTCCCCTCCCTCTCTGCTTTTAAAGCCCATTTCAAAACCTACCTCTTTGACTATCCCTTCAGTCACCTCCTGCCTATTCCCCCACTATGACTCACCATGCTGGGGCTGCCAGTCCGATCTGCAAAGCGCTCTGTGTGCTGTCCTACTAACAGCGCTCGTCCTGCTGTCCTGCTGTGAACGGAGCTGAATACATACTGTTTGTTGTTTGTTTGTGAGCAGTTTCCGATCCTTCATTGAGAAATGATACCATGTAAGAAACATGGATTGGCAGCTCCCTCCCAGTGCCTCTCCGAGTCACTGGACGGATAAATTAAAGGCCACTTTGCTTATATCGGTCGCCTGGGCTGTGTCCACCCTACATGTACTCCACAGATAACTTCACGGGTGACGGACAAGCAAAGGTCCGTCCTCTGACCAGACTGTAATAATCGTGGGACTCAAGGAGACTGCAGCTTAATCACCTCTTCATACGTTTCACTCATTACCTTGACTCCAGATCACCATTCCCGGGGTTTATACTCACTTCCACATTCTGCTGCCACATATCCCAGGCCATTTCAAGTCCTAACCTCTCCAGCCTCTCCTCACAGCTCTTTCCTCTCATCATCTGTGTCTAGTCATTACAAAATGGCAGTGTTTAAAGTGGTCAGTGCTTCATTCCTCGCTAACATATCCCTTTTGCCTTGCAGGGACCTCAAGGTCCTGCTGGAGGAATCGGAAATCCCGGAGCAGTGGGAGAGAAGGTGAGTCTTAAGGGGGTGGTAATCCCTTCAAAAAAGGATAATAATTCAGGCACTCAATCCACGACTGTTTGTGGGACGTTGCTGTGCACAATTGGCTATCGCATTTCTCCCACAAAATCTATCTGTTTACTTTACAGTATATTCTGTGAAGCGCTTTAAGATGTCTCAACGACGTCCTAAGGCCCTATTTCAAATGCAAGGTTTATTATTATTATTATTGTTATTATTAGTGCCTAATCCCTCCTTCAATAGATCAGCAGCTTTATCCAGTCAGTAGCTGAGCCACATAGAGATGCTCGGCCTACATGCCCCACGCTGTGCTGAGTCAGGGTACAATTGGCCTCAATGCTGCCTGGGTCAGGGGGTGGGGGGGATATCAGCTAGGTTTCCCCACTCCTGATCACTACCCACAGACACTCCCGCCCACCCACACTGTATGTGGGGAGACTGTGGTGAGGACAGGATCGGGGGTGGCAATACAACTGTAGTGAAATCTCTTGCCAACACCAGGGGTCTGTTGTCACACACGAGGATGTTACTGGAAACCTCTGCTTAATCCTCTGAGAAAATAAATGTATCTCTCCATTCTCGTCCAGCAGCCTGCCTCAGCCATGCGTTCTTGCCTCTGGGTCAGAAAGTGTGGGTCCAAGCCCCTATGACTTTAAGCTCGCAGTCCAGGCCGGCACCCTAGTGCAGTACTGGGGGAGTGCTGTGTTGCTGGAGGTGCTGTACTTTGGATGAGACATTAAACCGAGGTCCTGTGCGTGACTGTACAGGTGGACATTAATGAACCTGGAACACTGTTGGAAAATAGAAGGGAGTTTCTTTCTCCTGGTGTCCAGACCAGCAATTCCCCAGATAAAATTAGTCACTCGCTCTCTGGCTCTCTGTGGGACGTTGCTATGTTCAAATTGGAAGCTTTCCCGTTTCCCTTCAGGGATGCATTCACTGCAGTCCCAGACATTCCTAGACACTTCAGCAACAAATGCAAGGAATGTTGTTATCTGACTGGAAGGTGCAGTGCTTGGACATACCCATAGTGTGAATAAGTTCTCAATAACTTTATGTTTCTCAGTAACATAACATATTAATCGTTGGTTCTGTGCTCCCACAGGGAGACTCCGGTGAATCAGGCGCACCTGGCCCTCCTGGGGACATTGGGTTTCCGGTAAGTATTTGGCTTTGTGGTACGAGTGGGGAACGATGAAAAGGCCTCTTACTTTTGTTCCCAAAGCATGAGAGCATCATACGAGAAACCCATGTCTTCTCCTGAGTGCATGCAGAGTTATCCCAGCATTATCCGCCTCTTTAACCTTCCAATCCATACTCATCCTCAATGTTCCTGTACGTCACTGGCACAGATTAGTTGCCGGGTTTGTTTCTGTAACTACATTCTATGTAATATACGAGACTATTTCCGGATCATCGTCCCCAATCTTTGATTGTTATTAATTTCTGTCTGTCTTGTGACTCAAGGTAACGTGAAGGGCCCTTCCCGCCATTGGTATTTAACAGAAACGGTTTATCCTGGTTTATATTCCTCTCCACCCGCCCCATCCACTCAACTAACATAGGACGGCTGTACTTCCCAGCCCACCCCAGACAGTGTTCATCCATTGACGCTCTGTGTCCCAGTCCTGCCCATCCCTCCCTCATGACACCATAGAAGCATCCTCTTCATCTCCCAGACACAGCTTCTCTCCATCTTTCAGTGCATGAGTTGGATACAGCCATAAGAGACGACAGCCATCGAGACGGGACTTGTGCAAGCTCAGCCGCACTGCCATTCTATCCTCTGAGCCAAATTCTTGTTCTCTCCAAGAGCACTTTTATATTCCCCGTTTTCAATGTTTATCCAATTCCTTTTGAAGTGTCATGGTCCCAGCCTCATGGTGTTCCTGTTATCCTAGCTCTGTGTGTGTGTAAGAGTGTCTGAGGTTGGTGATCCCTATTGATAAACAAAGATGTGACCTTTGACGGGGATGTGATGTGACCTTTGACTGAAGTTTGGTTGCTGAGCTGCCCTTTTCTGAGTGGGGCTTGTTTGGAGTCTCGGCTGATCTGATGACTTGCTGAAGTTTTCTTTCTTTCTTTCTTTCCTTCCTTTCTTCTCTGCAGGGTCCCAAAGGAGAGCGAGGAGAGAAAGGTGAGGCTGGACCTTCTGGTTCTGCTGGTCCTCCAGGGCCTAAAGGACCTCCCGGTGACGATGGTCCAAAGGGCAGCCCTGTGAGTACAAGAACTGATTCCGGGGCCATCTTTCACTCTGCTCATCCTGTTCCTCACCCGCTCTAATGCCGTTCAATCCATAAGAACACAAATAGACACATTTGAGATTATCCAAACATTGGTCATTCACTTCACAGCTGTTTGTGGGATTTTATTGTGTGCAAATTGGCTGCCGTGTTTGCCTACAAAACATAGACTCTATACTTTACAATAAATCCTGTATTTTGTAGACCAATGTTTGGATAATCCCCAATGAGTCGTCCTCCTGACATGAAAGGCACTGGATCAAATGTAAAGATTATATAAGGGTTACTATTACTTCTTCAACAAAACTGTTTGTTCTAATCCCAATTCTGGCCACGTCCCCTCGGGGGTGGGCTGGGTGATCGGGGGTGGGTGATGATGCAGTGGACAGCAAAGGACATCCCGCCTGTGGAACCCCACCCCAGCAAGAGGAGGCCAGGTTAGGGGCAGAGAGGCCAGACCGGGGCCAGAGAGGAGGCCAGGCTGGGGGTGGAGAGGCGTGTGCTAGTGGAGAGAAAATTAGAAGAAAATTTAAATATATTTTTAGACCTAAAATGAAGGGTTACTTTAGGGATCTTAACGTTCCTTGTGTTAATTAAGGAGCGCTGAATAACTCCCAGTAGGTGGCAGTACCTCGATGCTCTGCTCCAGCTTTCTTGACAGCCATTGTTTTTCACGGCTGATTTTCTTTTACTGCAATTTATAGTTATTGGGGTGACCTCTCACCAGTACTATTTGCTCTGGGGCCTGAACAGCCGATGATGGGTGAGATCTGTGCTGTTCCTGGCCCAGAAATAACTTTTCTAAGTCATCCTCTGGCCTCCAATGGATCTGGTGAGGCTTTGGCCTCATTCCACTGAGTGGAGAAGGTGCTCCACCTAGTGGTAGCTATCGAACTTCTCTTAATTAGCACGAGGAACGTGACTGATAACAGATAACAAATTCTGTTCCAAGTGCGGAAAGTTTGCCGGAGTTCTCTCACCCCCTACCCAGTCGTGCGTTCTCTGCTCTGGTATGTCTCCCTGGCTCAGGTCTCGGAGTTGCAACGACCGCAGGGAGAAAGTGGTTCAGAGATTAGACTAATGCGGAGAGTGGACTGACTATAAAATTTTCAGGACCCTTCACGTTCTCACGCCCTCCCGACCTCCGTCATCTCCTCCTGCTCCATTCACCCACCCGCCAGTTCCGTTTGTGAAACGTCCTGTTATGAGTACGAGTCGTACATTCGTGAACTGATGGAGCTTAAGAATCTTAACACTCGTGTTTTAATCTCTTCCTTCTCTAGGGTCCGGTTGGCTTCCCCGGCGACCCAGGACCCCCTGGAGAGTCTGGTCCTCCTGTAAGAACACCCTCGCACCTTTTTTCCATAAGAATTAAATAAGAACTTGCGATTGGAAGCGCTCGGGTGTGTCTGTGTGTGCATGTCCCACCTGAGTAGGCTGCAGCCTTACTTCTAAACGCACCCATCTAGGCAGCGTTCTGCACTTCACGTGTAATTATTAACTTTTCGGTTCAAAACTAAAACCAAGTCCCACAGGTGAGACCTTAAACTATCTGGTGCTCACAGTCTTGGCTGATGCTCCAGTGCAATGTTGGGGGAGCACTGCCTTGTCAGAATCAATTTGGATGTGATATTAAACTGAAGTGTCATCTGCCTGTTCGTTGGACGTTAAAGATTGGTGACGCTCTGGTAATCTCGTTGACTGGATTGTAAATTCTTTTAGGAGCTGCAGAAAGCGGACTTCAAAGCTAAGTTACACTCAATCCGTGACTATTTGTGGGACACTGCCTCGCGCAATTGGCTGCCGCGTTTCGCCCACAAAATATACAGTCAATTCACTTTCGCAGTGTATTCTGTGAAACGCTTTGAGACGTGATGAGGAGCTGTATCAAATGCATGGATTATAATACGGAATTCAACAATTTGTCAAATTCTGCACTTTCTGAAATGCTACGTTAATAACGTAAATCTAGACTCAGGTGTAAATTCTCCCCATGTGTCTGTTCTAACCCTGCCCTGTTCCCCCAGGGTCAAGATGGACCTCTCGGTGACAAGGGTGAAGATGGTGAACCTGGTCAGACGGTAAGTGAATAATTCCACCCCCACCATTAGTGTCCCAGCCCTCTAGCCTGGAATGCATTGCCTGAAAGGATGGTGGAAGCCGATTCGATAACAACTTTTAAGAGAGAAATAGATAATTATTTGTGGAGGACAAGTTTGCAGGGCTATGGGAAAAGAGCGGGGGAGTGGGATTGAATTGGATAGCTCTTTTCAAAGAGCCAGCACAGACCATGGGCCAAATGGCCTCCTTCTGTGCTGTATAATTCTATGATTCTATGATTCTAGCCCTCCGCCCAGTCCCCTCTCTGTCTGTGTTTAGATCCCACCTAAAAACCTACCTAAGTCATCTACCCCTCCTCCCTTGCTCAGCACCTGACATTGTCTCTGAGATCTGCTCACGACGTTGTCCTACGAAGGATGTGAGTTGTTGTTGTTGTTGCGATGAGGGGATCTCACCAAAAGTAACCCAGTAACAATGTGTGGCCACACAACACCGTCACCATACTTTCTAGTGCACCGTTCTGTGACACAAACAACGCTTGTTTGAAGGTGTCCGATTGAAGAGCTCACCATCATGCTTTTTCTTTCCAGGGTTCTCCTGGTCCCACTGGTGAGCCTGGTCCTCCTGGGCCCCAGGGTAAGAGGGTAAGTGTCGACACTGCATCAGTACCATGTGGAGTTCTGTAGCGGATTGGTTAGAGAACTCGCCTCGCAAGAGAGAGGGCCTGGGTTCGATTCCGGGGCAGGGCGAAATGGTAGGCAAGTTTCCTTACCCCACACACCTCTGTTTACCTAGCAATGAGAAGGAACCCAATTGTTAGTCGATTGAAGGATCGTTTTTCTGGGGGTAATAATCCATTAAAAAAAATTTGATCGCTCCATCCACAACTGTTTGTGGGACACTGCTGTGCATAATTGGCTGCCGCATTTCGCCCACCAAATATACAGTCAATTCAATCTTCAGTATATTCTGTGAAGTGCTTTGCCACGTCTCAAACACGTGAACAGCTTTTATATCAAATGCAAGGATTATTATGATGACCGTGGCTTGGCTCAGTTGTTCAAGCTCATGCCTCTGGGTCAGAAGCTTACAATCCGGGCTGAAACTCCAGTGCAGTTTTGGGGGAGCACTGCATTGTCTGAGGCACTGTCCTTCAGATGAGGCGTTAAACCCAGCTTTCATCTATCTGCCTGTTCAGGTGCACATTGAAGAAGATATGTTAGAAAAGAGAAACAAGTTTCTCCATCCCCCCAACGGCCTGGCTAACAATCCCACAGATAAAATTGGTCAATGATTTAATTGGCTGTTTGTGAGACTATGCAAAATGTCTGCCTGTATTTGCGCATAAATACACACAGACACTGCACTTGACATCAATTGCCTAAAAAACGCCGAGACATTTTGTTGTTGTAGTCATTGTATCAAATGCAGGGATTATTAGCATTATTGTTTCTGGCCCTTCAATGGATTCACTAACTCCACACTAGGGGACACAGAAAACATCAGCACTGCTCTGGGCATTGGCATATGTGCAGCCCAATCCATGCGATGCTAGACACGTGTCCATTATCATGGTAAATAACCCCGCCATATCTGCGTCCTTCTACACCATTTTGCCGTTGTCTTTTCTAGGGTCCGACTGGTCTACTCGGCCCTGAAGGGAGAGAGGGAGAGAAAGGAGCTAAGGTATGAAAGTCATCTTCCTAATGATGTGTCTTTCAGTATCAGTGCGTGTGTGTGTGTGAATAGGTTGGTTATTTGCTGACCCTCTTGTATCTCGTTGTCCGCAGGGTGACACTGGTCATGAAGGTCCTCCTGGTAAAACAGGCCCGGTCGGTCCACAGGGCTCACCGGGCAAGCCAGGCCCAGAAGGTCTCCGAGGAATCCCAGGCCCTGTGGTGAGTCGCAAATGGAAGAAACAAGCCACAATTTGAATCTGTTCCTCTCAGTAATTGACGCCTTCAGTCACTCACCAAATCCTTCTCGTTCTTGTCTTCGCTCTAGGGTGAACAAGGCTTGCCAGGCTCTTCGGGTCCCACGGGTCCTCCCGGCCCAATGGTTTGTAACAAAACAACTTCTGACACTTTGATTGTTGATTTCAGCGAGTGACTCCAACACTAAAGTCTGTGTGTTTCCCTGTTTAAGGGTCCCCCTGGATTGCCAGGCCTCAAAGGAGATCCTGGTCCTAAGGGAGAGAAGGTATGTGACATGATGGTAGTCCCAGTGGTTTTATAGCAGATGGTGCCTTGTGTCATTGTGTATTGTCTCAGTGTGTACCATACCCCTGTAGTCCCACTTGGTAGCATCTCATCTCTGGGTCATTAGGTTTAGTCTCCCCCCACCCCACACAACCCTCAACACCTCGGCCGGGTTTCCTCTCGGCCTTTTCTGTTCCAGTCAAAAGAGCCCCAGTTTCTCCCGCTTCTCGTAAGTAAAAACCTCTCGCACTGGGATTTGAGTGAACCTCCCCTGCACCCTCTCCGTGACCTCAATGACCTTCCCAAAGTGGAGCGCCAAGACACATGACGACCTTCTTATAAGATAATGTTGAGAACCATTTCAGTAAGTGTAACCTACTTCCAGGTTGTCAGGTTGACCAGGTACGTGCGGAAAAACCTTGGTTTCCTGTCGGAAGCCGGAAGCATCCCACACTTCGGTAACCACGGGTCCACAGACACCCGTGTTATAAGTGAGGTCGGGCTTCCCTGAGGCTCTTTATAATGAAGACGTCCTGGCTGTGGCCAGCCTTGGAAAGCCTTGTCCTCTCTAGAGGCTGCGGGAGATTTTCTCTCCGCGTGGATCAAGTGTGATTTGTCCACCCAGTTTGTGTCCATGTGCACCAGTAACCTGGTTCTGGTGTGGGTGTCTGGGTTACACCAAACTCTTGTGATGTCTTCCCATGTCTATGCTGCATGGGGTAATGGTTTTGTGTGTGTGTGTGTGTTACAGGGACACCCTGGTCTAATCGGTTTAATCGGGCCTCCTGGAGAGCAGGGTGAGAAGGGTGACCGAGGTCTCCCAGGTCCTCAGGGATTGGGAGGTCATAAAGGAGACACGGTAAGGTCTGAACAACCAATTGTGATCGTCGCCGACACTTGCACGCTTCGTACCGTCTCTTTAAAAAAAAATGTTCACTTCCATGATCACAAACAGGCTTGCAGCCCTACTTGATGTTAACAACAACAACAAATTACATTTATTTTCACTTCGGGAGGATGTCCCAAGGTGCTGGACAGTCAGAGGTCAGGACCCGAGCATGGGGGAGGGGTGGTGTAAGGTTGAGGGAAGGCAGAGAGGTGGGAGGGCGACTGAAGGCACTATCGAAGAGGAGGGTCTTGGGACTGGCCTCGAAGGAGGCAAGGGAGGAAGTGAGCTGAAGGGACTGGGATGGAGTTCCAAGAGTGTGTGGGGCAGAGAGGGTGAAAACCCGGCCACCAATGGAGCAGGCTGGAGCCCGCTGAACGAAGGGAACGGGCAGGTTGGAAGAGAGTCAGCAGGTCAGAGAGGTAGGAGGGGGAAAGGCCATGGATGGCCTTGAAAGTGAGGACTAGGATCTTGAATTCGATGCTCTGAGGGATGGGGAGCCAGTGGAGTCGGACGAGGGTGGGAGTGATGGGGTCACGGAGCCTGGTGCGAGAGAATACATGAGCTGCAGAGTTTTGGATGATCTGCAGCTTGTGAAGGGAACAGTTGGGAAGGCCGATGAGGAGGGAGTTTCCATCTTCGAGCTTTGATGTGACGAATGCATGGGTGAGGGTTTGGGCAGCCTGAGGGGTGAGACAGTGGCGGAGTCTGGCAATGTTGCGGAGGTGGTGGTAGGCAGTGCCAGTCATGGAGCAGATATGGGGGAGAAAGGACAGTTCGGGGTCAAACAAGACACCCAGGTTCCTGACTGGCTTAGTGAGGTTGAATGTGCAGCTGTGCAGGCTGATGCTGCCAGCGCCCGAGGTTAAGTATTTCCAGCACTAAATAGATTACAGATCTCAGCCTGGCTCAGACCGTTGCGAGTTCAAGCCCCACCTCGGGACTGTGAACTCACAGTTTAGGCTGACTCTAGCGCTGCACTGTCAGAGGTACCGACCTTCGGGTGAGATTGATAAACCAAAGTCCCGTCTACCTGTTTAGGTGGACGTTAAAAATCGTTTTGGAACAGGGAAGCGAGTCTCTCCCAGTGTCCTGGCCAACAACTCTACAGATTAATTTGTCGTTCACTTCATGGCTGTCTGTGGGACATTTTTTTTAGTGCAAATTGGCTGCCTCATTTGCCCACAAAATACACAATTACTGCACTTGACAGCGATTCCCTGTGAAGTGCTTAGAGAGGTCTCAATGCCGTAGGCGCTGGATTAGACAAGAGGATTATTATTAGTTTAAGCGTGACGGAGGACTATTACCAGTTTAAGCATGACGGAGGATTATTATTAGTTTAAAGCGTGATGCTATGTGGTACTGAACAGATTAACACCAAACACACTATCCGTTTGTGCTTCCCACAGGGTGTCCATGGCCCCTCCGGCCCTCTTGGACCTCCCGGCCCACCTGGCTTGCCTGTAAGTAATAAAGACTATTTCTTCCTCTCCAGAAAAGTTAGCCTCAACCTCTGGATGAATTTGTTCCCCTCATTTTACGTTGTGAAGCTCCTTGGGTGTAATAGGCGTGGCATTGAGGAGTTCTGAGGGTAGGGCAGCATGGTGCGAGGGGTGGGGCGGGGGGAGTGAGGTCAGGGCCTGGGATTGTGGCGCGAGTCTGGCACAGCAAGCGTGGCAGTGGGTACCACAGGACTGGGCACTCAATCGGCTTACACAAAGTAAATGGCCGCCATTGGCCATCTCGACCACAGCGAGGAGAATGGAATAGCCCGACCTCAAGGTACTGCCACAGAGCAGGTCTGGGTACATCCCCTCCCCCAGAAACTCCCTGACTCTCCTCAAATCTTCTCCCGCCCCCCCCCCCCCCCCCCCGCGCCACCCAGACAGTGCCCCCCCACCCCCACCAGATCCCCCCGTCATACCTCCGAGCCACTCCTCGGGCTGTCATGCCTTCCTGCACTGTCACAAGCCCACCCACCCACCCAACGCCCTATAACCTTTGCCACTGATAAATCATCACACCAGCTCTGACCAGTAGCGAGGTTATAGGTGGCGGGTGGGTGGGTGAGGGGAGGCGACAGTGCGGAGAGAGGGGTTTCAGCACCCCCACTGTAAAAACTGTTCTCCCTCGCCAACGCTTGTGTAATGTCTTTTGCATTGGAGCTCAAACAGCATTGTTATCAACTAATGTTTGAATCTTCTCTCTCAACAGGGCCCCCCTGGTCCCAAAGGCTCCAAAGGCTCCAGTGTAAGTACCTTTGCTGAACAGTCTCAGAGCAAGCGATGTAAGTTTGCATGTTGCAACCAAGAGGCAGCTCGATTGTACCCGAAGGCTTAACCGTGCGCAATGATCTGATGGCTGCTCAGCCAACATTGTGCAGATGGTATTCAGCATCAGGTGATCAACGCTGAGATAAGGAAGACCCCGGGGCATTGGAAAGAGTTCAGAGGTCAATGAGGATGGTTCTTTATCTCAGTGACTGTGCAATGAGGTCAGGGAGCTGAGCAAGGAACCTTGATCCAGGGTTATGTCATCTTTTTGGTCAGCCGATTATCTTTTTTGGACACACGTGGAAACCCATCACCGAGCTTAAGATTCTCCAAACCAGACTGAGCGTTCTGAATCAGTACGACGCCTACATCTGGAAATGTTCCTGTGCCTGGAATGAAATGTGCACTCTCTGGAGAGATGGACGCTACCTTTCTAATTCCAGATAATATTGTATAATTGCAGGTTGGCGAGAGCCAAGGCTTGGGAATCTCATTGTGCTTTGCTAGAGTTTAACCAGCTGAAACCCTACAGCCATGGAAGCACTGCCTGGCAAGCTTTCCCACTGCTTGTCCAGCAAGGAGCACCCTACCTGTTCTATCTTTGGCTTGCAGGGTTAATGGGAGCCGAGTAGAGGAATCCTCTTGTCTGCTCTCCAAGTCCCACTGATGAGCCAGGCCGGCTGATCTGTCATCAGCATTGCCTTGAATTACACGTAAAATCCTGAAGGGCTATTGCTGAAATGGGTGGAAATAGGAACAGGAGGAGGCCATTCAGCCCATCCAGACGTTTTGGACTGTTTATTCGATCACCGCAGATCTTTAAACCCATTCCCCCATCTTTTCACCACATTCCTTTACCCTCCTCGCTTCACAGGTTTCTCTCTGCTTCCATTTTAAACAACATCCTGGTGAGGTGGGAGTCCACATTCTCCCCACCCTCTGAGTGAGGAGATGTGTAGCTTATTGGCGGGCGGGGTGGGTTGTGGGGGTGGGGACGAGAAAGACAATGATGTGGTTTTAATTTGGGGGATACCAAAGTCCAATCTTGGGAGTTCTTAAATTGTTGAGTAGCTGAGAAAGGACGAGATAGAAAAGGGCCTCTCTGGTTGGATGTCAACGACACGGACACAGGTGTCCAACACCTTGCAGCTAGAATATGTGTCAGGTAATCCCTGTCCCAGTCCCTATCCTACTGACTGTTTCATTCCTCTCTTGTGTATAGGGTACGACTGGTACTAAAGGTGAAACAGGAATCCCCGGTCCCGCTGGGCCACCTGTAAGTGAGACACTTCATGCGATGGAAAAGCTTGTGCATTAATGCTCCACCCACGCGCTCTAATTTAGCTTCAGCATGTTTGCCAACAATGTATATACAGTCACACCACGGTGTAGCAAATGCTGAGAAGTTTGACCGTGGATGGTGGGGCGGGCAGGGCAGGGGATGTGAAGCTGAGTCAAGGGACCGGTGGTTTGGTTGGATTTTAGAAGGTCGCAAAGGTAGAGTGGGGCAAGCCTGTGGAGGGATTTAAAAGTGAATTTGAGGATCTTGAACTCACTCCTATGAGGGATGGGGAAGCCCATGGAGTTGGGTGAGGCTGAACGGAATAGGATCACGGAGCTTGGTGCGGGAGAGGACCTGAGCTGCAGAGTTCTGGATGATGCGCAGCTCGTGGAGGGAAGAAGTTGGAAAGTCAAGCAAGCCAAGAGTTGGCATAGTCTATCCTGAAAGCTGGATACCGTGCAATTATAGTCTGGAGTCAGATTCGAAGGTAATAAAATGTTCCTTTTTTCCCCTAAAGGGCCCTCCTGGAGAAGTGATCCAGCCTTACCCAATGCAAGCCTCAAAGAGAGCCAAGCGGTCCATCGATGCCAGCCAATTCCTGGACGGAGGGAATCCTGACAATTACCTGGACTATGCTGACGGCATGGAGGAGATCTTTGGCTCTCTGAACTCCTTGAAACTGGAGATCGAGCAAATGAAACACCCAATGGGCACGCAGAACAACCCTGCGCGTACCTGCAAGGATCTGCAGCTCTGCCACCCGGATTTCCCTGATGGTACGGCCGCTCGTGGAGAGAGGAGCCACATCTTGTGTCAGCCTCTGGGTCACAGGTCGCGGGTTACAAACCCTCGTCAGCACTTTGAGCTCACAGTTCCAGGCTGCCAATTCAGTGCTGTGCTAGATGGAGCACTGCAATGTCCTTAAGATATTAAGCCCAGGTCCTGTCTGTCCATTCAGGTGGACCTTAAAGATCCCACGACTGTTGGAAAGGAGGAGGGCATTTCTCCCGATATGGGGTCAAACCAGATAAATATTGAGGTGCAAAATGTGCAGCTGACGACAGGATTCCAAAACAATCTTTCAAATGTCGGATGCATCCAGAGATGGGATGCGAGTCGCCCCATCCCTTGGGAATCCCGCAGTGAGGCATTCCGTTCCCAGTCAGAACGCCGTTCGCACAGGGCCATCTTTACCGGCCCCTTTCCCATCCCGCTGGGAACGATACCGTTAAAACCTGTTGGGATTTGAAGGAGTTAATTCCTCCACAAGGGGGGCATGAGACCAATTCATCCGATTGTTGATGGAGACTTTCACCACTGATTTTTTTAGGAAATAACATTATGGGATATAGTGCATAGGACCACCAGGAAGGTGGAAGGCGAACTAGGTGGACCTTGGTCTTTTTTTTGTTTAGTATTTCTTATGTTCTTCTGTTCTTACGACGGGACTCTGTTTTACCTCACCCCTTCTCTTGCCTCCTTCAAGTCCCATCTGAAGACCTTCCTCTTCGACTGTGCCTTTGGCCAACCTCCTACCCTGTCCCCCATTGCCCTCCTCCCATTCTGACCCCAACTCCCAGCGGATCCAAAACCCCTGATTGTCCAGCGCCCTGGGATATCTTTCCAACAATTTGTTGTTGTTGTTGTTTCAAGGAAGAATGTGGGGTGGAGAGCATCCCAAAACGTAAGAGGGAGGTTGAAGGCATCCTGAACTGGGAAGGTGGGGTCCTGATACCCTGATACAGTGGGGAGGGCGGGGAGGAGGCAGTGCCATAGTAACAGAGGGCTCCTGATCATTGTTATTAAGCAGCGAGTGAAAGCAGGACTCAGTCACGTATTAGTATTTAATGGACGCCAGCCGTGGCTTCAGTTACAAAGTGGGAAGAATTAGCTCAATAAAGAAGAGTAAAGGAAGATTTCTGCTTCTCTGTCGCTACAGGTGACTATTGGATCGATCCTAACCAAGGCTGTTCCAAAGATTCCTTCAAAGTCTTCTGCAACTTCACAGCCGGAGGAGAGACGTGCATCTTCCCCGATAAGAAATCTGAGGGAGTAAGTGCCTGCGTTCTACACTTCTCTTTACTCTAGACCTGAGGGCGTCCCGTTTAGTACAGCGGGGACTCGACTTGTTACAGACTGGTTGGGAGCTCGGAGCTCATTGTCGGAGGCTCCGTCCTTTGGGTGAGACGTCAATCTCAGGTCCTGCCTGTCCCTGTTCTGGTAGATGTTATAGGTCCCCGCGACTGTCGGAAAAGAGGAGGGAGTGTCACCTGGCTGGTTTGCTGTCCCGACAGTTCCCCCAGATAGATAACTGATCACTCACTTGATGGCTGTGTGCGCGTGACCATGCTGTCCACAAAATGGCTGCCATGTTTGCATAGAAACATAGTCAGTGTGCTTGACGGCAACTACATCAAAAAGCTGCGAAGCGCTTTGAAACGTGTCAGTATTATACGTGCAATGAAAATGGCAGGAAGATGGCATTTCTGGGAGCGGAATGGGGTGAGGGTTGGAGTATCATTTGGGAGGGAGATGGGGTATTGGGGGAGTGGGGTGGGGATTCGGGGAGGATGAGAGGGTCTCGGAGGATGGGGAGTCAGGTGAGGGAGAATGGGGTGTCATCGGGGATGGGGAATCGGGAAGGGGGAGAGAGTCTATGGGGAGTCCAGGCTGATCAGGGAGTCCAGGGAGTCATCAGACTCTTATCGGTATCTCTAACTCTGAGCTGTTTGTGTGAAAGACTTGGAGTTGGCAGGTGGTGGAGCGATGACCTCAGAGCTTTGCCGTGACATGCGGCAGGAATGTGCGTATTGTTTCTATTTTCGCATTAATTTAATTTTTTTTCTTTGTGTTTTTTTCCGCCCTGCCTCACACACCAGGCTAGAATTACCAGCTGGCCAAAGGAAATACCAGGCTCCTGGTTCAGTGAATTCAAGCGTGGTAAACTGGTAAGCTTTGCAACCTGTTGTTCTAGTCTATAACAGGTCTCATATTTTACAGAGCAAAATGGCTCGTTGGCCCAAAGAGGTGCCTGGTACATGGTATAGTCAGTACAAGCGAGGCGCAATGGTAAGTAGCTAACTCCTGTCAGCCTCCCTCCATGGCACTCACCATGCTCTTCTTCTTCTCTCACGCATCCTCCACTCTGCTGACTCACTCCCACTCATTTGCTCATTGCCAAAGAACTGCTCTCCACCAACCCCCTTCCCAGGTAGCGACAAAACTAGAGAGAGCAGGGGATGGGATCAGAGTAGAGAGCTCCAGTGGGGGAGCGAGCACGAGCACAGACACGATGGACAAAGAGGAGGGGTGGGATTAGATTAGGGAGCTATAATGGGGGAGTGAGCACCAGCACAGTCACAACGGAGAGAGAGCAGGGAAAGCGGGAGCGAGCTCCGGACGTGATAGCTGAGTGTTAAGATTCCCCCTCCACTTGCCTGAAAGTGGGGGTGGACTCAGCTGGGATTCCCTGTCAACGCTCGTCACCGGGACTCCGGGGTGACGAATGGCTTTGTGAGGGGCAGTCGGGGCCCATAGAACTGACCCTGGACAGTCAGCAATGGGAGACGGGCAGTAATCATCAGGACGAAGGTCATCAAGGGAGGGTTTGAGGGCTCAGAAACCAACTGTGACTATTTAGAGGCCGAGTGTGAAATGCACAGAAGCAGCTGGTGGAAAGTTGGATAAATCTCTGAGCAGCTCCGTGGGTGTCGCTCTGATCTGTCTCTTTCCCCTCCTCCCTTTCTCTGCCTTTCGTCTCCTTCGCTTCCACTCTGTGCCAGCAGCTTCCCGGGCCGCACTGCTGTGACCTCACGGAATGCCGCACCTCTCCTGCTGGCGGTTATCGCAGGTTCCTTAAATAAGGAGAACGCTTTAGTTTTTTTTTCTGGAGACGAGGAGGCGAAGGGCCGATCGCAGGGTTGTGACGGGGTAAAGAGCGAGAGACGATTCCGACTGCTCGACCGGTCAGTCAGGAACGAGAAGGCAGAAAATTTAGATCATCCCACGAAAGAATTAAAGGGGAGGTTAGAAAACATGTCTCTACACCATGGGGGAAGGGGAGGATGTGGAATCCTCTGGCACTAACCAGAGTTGAGAGAGAGTCTGGGAATTATCTTAAAAAGGAATTCAGTAGATACTTGAAAAGGAAAGACGATTAAAGGGCGATTATAGATGTGGAGAAAATCAGCACAGAGTTGATGACCTGTAACATTCTGAGATGCTCAGCCCATTGTGGGCCAGGGGGATGGCGGGGGGAGCTTAGATACAGCCAAATCCTGATTCCTGAGGCAGGTTAGACTCCCACGTAGTCACCCTGACTCCTCCCAGCCCCGGGAGAGGGAGTGTTGACATCTAATTGAGATTCTGAGAGCCTGAGCAGAGCGAGCGTAGACTGAGGCCTTTCTGTTGGTTTGCTTTGTGTTTCCTGGTTCGTACAGCAGCCACCCTGCTCTATCACTTTGTTACCTTCCTCTTCCCCCACCCGCCCTCTCTCCTCTGCCCTCACTCCTCTCGCTCTCCCCCTCCTCTCACTCTCCTGCATGCACTCTCTCTTCATGGTCAGTCGTACTTCACTCCCAGGAGTCCCGGAAAGAATGCGGAAACCAAGGAATGCTGAAAGCCGGTTGGTAAAATGTTTAGTTTATAATTAGTTTCTAAGATGGACATCACAGATGCTTTGTACTAGATGCCCAGAAAAGGGCCATTAAATGTAATTTCACAGCGAGATTGCACTTTGCCTTGGAGTGTCTGTCCTTTCGACACTGAAATGCAATGCAGTGAATGGAGACCATGTCTCTGTGAATGATGTTGCTTTACAGTAAAGGCCGTTGGTTGTTTTTTCTAACGTGTTGAGATTCCACAGGTACCGCGATGGGACTTTACGGAGCAGATCAAGGTGTCCTTTGTCTTGGTCTCAGCCTCCACCCTGACAAGATGCAAATACTTTTGTCTGCTGTGATGGGAGATTGAATTTGTGACCAGTACAGTATAGTGAGGGGGGTGGTCAGTGCTTCTGGTGGTTGAGGAGGGGGGAGATCTGCTCGTCTTAAACCCACGAATACACCTATAATCCAAGGTGTCACTGGGGATTTAATACAATTAAAGTCGTTCCTTGATTGACAGTCGGTGGGGGGGGGGGTGAAATGATAGACCACGGGACTGTGTGCCCAGGACACTGTCGTCAACATCAACCACAGAAAGACTCAATGAGCCAGCGTCCGTCCTGCTTACTTGGGGTTTGTCAGTCACGTGGCTAACAGGCTCAGCTTCTCTCCAGTTGGCTCAGCATTGAATGTGGAAGTCAGGAAGGAGTGTGTCTTCAGGTGACTGTGAGTAAATTCCAGGCCCAGCGTTTGGAGCCTGTTCATTGTTCCCAGTTTCACTGCCCAGTTCTCTTTCTCTCTCTCTCTCTCTCTCTCTCTGTCCGTCCCTGTCTCTGTGATTAGCTCTCCTATGTGGACGCTGACAGCTACCCCATCGGGGTGGTGCAGATGACATTCCTCAAACTCCTGAGCGCGTCCGCCAGTCAGAACCTCAGTTACGTGTGCCACCAGAGCGTGGCTTGGTACGAGGAGGCCACTGACAGCTACGACAAAGCCATCCGCTTCCTGGGCTCCAACGACGAGGAGATGTCCTACGACAACAACCCCTACATCCAGGCCATCGCTGACGACTGTGCGGTAAGTCCTCGCTCAGCCAGCTCTGATTGGGAACCGCAGGAGCCCATTCATTCAGCTCTCTGGGCTGCTCTGTCACAGTGTTACACTGCATGAGATCTTCTAATCCCTTTTGCCCACATTCTGTGCTCCATTGGCTGCTGCATTTCTGCAACAAAATACACAGTCAATTCACTTTACAGTATATTCTGTGAAGCGCTTTGAGACGTCTCGAAGACGTGATGAGGCACTATGTCAAATGCAAGGATTATTCTTTAATCCCTGACTTCCCAAGTAGCTCTCTATCTCCTTTTTGGGCGTCGCAACTGATTTTGTCTCCTGCCCTCTGGGGCCACTCACCGCCCGAGTGGGTCCCGATCTCACTTCTAAATGCGCAGGCTCTTAAATGTAAGCCCTATCACTGAGAGTGGGCGCCGGAGGGAGTGTAGGTATGTAATTGACCCAACAAGAGTTAAAGTGGGACCAGCAGAGCCCAACACTGTTGAAATGAGCTGAGATTGTTGGCGTTGCACTTCCCTCTCGTGGCTCAACAGGGAACAGCAGCTCTGAGCTGCACAGACCGGTTTGGTCTCGGCTTGGGATGGCCGGTCTGTTCTGCGAGCAAGTTGGATCTTTGGGGCACTTTGATTGGTGGGGAGGGGGGGGCTCCATCCTCTGCATTCAAAGATATGACCAAGTGGAGGCAACTTGGAGAGATGGGGAGGGTTGCGGAGGGAAAGTGTAGTTGAGTTCTGCTCCCCACCCAACGCGAGTCAATGTCTACAGGAGAGAGAGAAGGCCAAAAAGCACCCCCACCCTGCCCGGTAAAGGTAAGAGTGGGCGCAGGATCTTATCTTACTCCGCGCAGCTCGTAAACCGCAGTCTTTGTTTTCTTTTCCAGTCAAAGAAAGGCTACCAGAAAACGATATTAGAGATAAACACTCCGAAGGTGGAGCAACTGCCCTTCATCGATGTCATGTTCAACGACTTTGGAGAATCAGGCCAGAAGTTTGGCTTCAAGATTGGACCTGTGTGCTTTGCCGGGTAAACGGAGCCGCCAAAAAGAGAGAGAGAGAGAGAGAGGACTTCGGCAGATCACAAACGTATGTTCGGAAAAAAAAAACACAAAGAAATTTGACAAAAAAAATCACCCGAAGAAAAAAAAGGCTGAAATCGTCTCCGCATCACAACATTGTAACCTCATTGTGCTTTTGTCACATGCACGTTCCGAACCTGGAGCGGCACAGAGCTGGAGCCCGACGTTCTACCCTGCCCCCCCACCCTCACCCACCCCCCCGCTGGCGCTGCCGAAGAAAGCCCTGTGAATCTTCAACTTCCCCTTATTCGCTCCCCCCACACCCACATCCTCCCCATGACCCTCCACCCCACCCCCACCCACTCACATCCTTCCCTCCCTCCTCACCCACTCCCTTCCTCCCCCACGACCTCCCATCACCTCCGAACCCCCCGCCCCCCCCCCCCACCCCCACATGTGGAACCCCACAGAAGAATCTTAACAGCAAAACCAGCCGCTCTGCTCCTCCCCACCCCCGCGAGGCCATCTCCAACATAAATGGTGCTAGATACGAACACAGCCTGTATGTAGCAGCTGTGTTGACATCTCCTGGAGGCCAGTGTGTGTTGTGGGGCGAGGGGAGGGAACTGGGGGAGGCAGAACCATCACCACATTAGATAAACCACCATCCCGTCCCCTGCTAATAAAGAAGCCTTTCCGTTTGTCCTTCTCTTTCGAAAGCGCTGGCTATTTTTTTTTATTTCTGTATGTTTGTAAGTAAATACTATAATTGTATATTATTTCCTAAGCCTGACTTTACAGCTTTCCAGCTTCCAACTTGCATGTGACTGGGTATGTAGGAGGAGAGCTCTGCCCTTTTTCTCTTGGTTCCCAATGTTCGAATATATATATATAAAAAAACATATAAAACCTGTTACCTGTGACCTAATAAACCTTTTGCTCTGAAAAAAAACCACCAACACATTGGCTCTGTATAAAACAGACGAGATCGCTATGGCTTCCTGGCGCACACAGCCCGGCTTGGCCTGGCCCGGCCCAGCCTGGCACACACTGCTTCTGCTCACTGTCTATCCACAGTTTGCATGTTGTACTCACCTGTCCTCACAGCCAACCCATTCTGCCAACACGCCACACCTGTCGGGGGCGGGGAAGAGGATGAGTGGTTTGCTCTGTTTAGGGTCTCCCCACCCACTCATCCTCTTTCCCCCACCGGCCCGCTCCTCTCCACCTCTCCCTTATCCCCTCCCCCTGCCCCCCATCCACGTTCTCCCTCCACCCCTTACCCCTTCTCTCCCCCCCCCCCCCCCACATACACATACACACACACACACACTTACAATGAGGATAGGACATGAGAGTAGGAGATGCCGGTTCCCAGGGAACACGACACTGACTGGAAATGGTGCTATTTTAACCTTTGTGTCTGTGGTGCTATCTGACCTTCCTTCGTTTTGCCCCGGTAATCTCCTCCCTGGCCAGGCCTCCTGCTGACCGTGAAGAGCACACTCTGGTTTTCCTCCGGACAGACTTAGACATTTGGGTGCTAAGCAGCGGGTTTAGAATGAAATGCATGCTTTCAGTTCACACTCGTATTATAGCTCAGTATCTTAACTAGGAACAACTTCATTAATGTAGCTTTGTCAAAGGGCCTTGATGAAGTGTATTTTGAAGTTATATCTCTGATGACGTGGTAGACTAGGCAGGTACTCACTGATATAAGGCTGGATGTGTGTGGTGCTAATTTATGTATCTCATCTCCGTTCTCAGATGAACTCTGACTTCACTCGCCTTTGATTGTTGAGATCACCGTTTACTCAGTGGGAATGTGTCCCACCCTCTGCTTTCCATGTTGTGTCGTTCTTTCCCTGCAACGTGCCGTCACGTCTCCCTCTTTCTCTGTAGCCCCCCGGTGAGATTCCCCAGCCCCAGCCCCCACCAACCACCTCCCAGTGACTGGCACAATCCCATTTGCTGCTTTGGGTTTGCACTGTCCTGTGTGTTGAGCAAAACTAGTTTTCTGACTTGTCATTAGTTACGTATCTCTCATTTTCTCCTGATCTAGTTCCTCTTCTCTCTCGTTTTCCCTCTCGTTTTCTCTTCTCTCTCTCTCTCTAAGTCATTCTTTCTTTCTCTCTCCCTTCCACCCACCCTCCTTCCTTCCTTTTCATTCTTTCTTTCATTTCTTCATCCTTCCTTCCCTCTCACTCTCTCTCCCTCCCTCCCCCTCCCCGTTTGTTTCCTCTCAGTGACTAAGTCCCCATTTGCTGCACCTGTAACAAAACAAAGCCTTGTGTTTGCATAGAGAGAAATCGTTTGTAATTTTATTTTTCGTTAGGAACGTATGACTTGAACATAAAATATTGTTAATGAGAAAAACTGTTCGGAGGAAAAGCATTTTTTGGTATTTGTTTTATTGGCCCAGACTTTTAAGGATCATTATATTCTGTGATGTGACGTATTGTAAATGTTCTGGAGACCCCAATAAATGTGTTCATGAAAAAAAAGTGCCTACAGCCTGTCCATTGGAGAGGCTTCACAACGCACAGAGCCTCCAACAAGAGAGGCCATCACTGAGCTGGACCCTTAGTGATGGACTGAGAGCCACATCCCACGCTCGGGACACGAGATGAGTCGGACGATGGCTGCCGTATAATAATCCGGGCATCACTTACTCCCAAACTTCTGTTCCACAAATGGGTAAGTTTCCTACAGTTTATATAAAAAAAGTTCCGCTTTTATAATCGCTAAGTTTCTAACACGGTCCCGGGATCCTAAACTGTAAAGCGCTCTGAGACCCCGTCCGGCGTGGAGGGCGCTATATAAATCCAAGTTGTTGTTGTTGTTGTAACACACCGAGTGCCTTCGGTCGGTTCCCCCTGAACCTGTGAGCCCTGGTGGCTGGGGAACAGGAATAGGAGACCTAGTGTTTTTAGGATCCATCCTTCGGATGAGATGTTAAACCGAGGTTCCCGTCTGCCTGCTCGGGTGGACGTTAAAGATCCCGTGCGCTATTCGAAAAAGAGAAGGGAGTTTCTCTCTCCCCGTGTCCTGGCCAGAAATTAACCCCCGTATAAGATTGGTCATACTCCATCGCTGTTTGCGGGTTGTTGCTGTGTGCAAATAAGCTGCTGCTTTTCGCAGTGTATCCTGTGAAGCGCTTTGAGACGTCTCGATGATGTGATAAGGCGCTCTATCAAATGCAAGGATTATTTTTATTATTGTTCAGTGTGAATTAAGTCTCTCCCCACTGGTAGCGACGATTGTTCATGTATCAGCTCTTGGCGCTGAGTGTTAGCAGCTCATGCCAACACTGTGGATGGTGTCACAGCTGAGCCTGGCCTCTCCTCACCCAGCTGCCACACACGTGTGGTTTTTATTGCTCCAGAGCTATTAGGAGAGCATTGTTTGTGTCGCTAATAAACTGTTTGTGTTGCTAGGAACCTGTTACTGGGAATGTTTGTGTTTCTAGGAAGCTGTTTCTCTCAGTCTGTGACCAGGTCTCTCTGTGCCTCCTTGGCCTCTCTGGAGCCATCAACACTGTCGACCACTAAAGCTCTCTGGGTCCCCCTTCAGCTCCATCTCAGCAGCTCTGCAAGATCCTGAGCTCAATTTGCATCCCACAAACATCTAAGATGCCAATGGTATCTGTGGGATTGTTGGCCAGGACACCAGGAGAAATTCCCTTCTCATTTTGAATAGTGTCACAGGACCTTGAACGTCCAGCTGAACAGTCAGGCGGGACCTCGGTTGTAACATCTCCACCAAAAGACCCTGACAATGCATTGCACGCCCAGCACTGCTCTGGACTGTCAATCTAGACTTTCAACAAGGGTTAATGATGTGAAGTGTGCACGAGCTGCAATCAGGATAAGCCTCTCGATTCCCCCTTCAGGAAGAATCGCATCATTATAGCGGCTTATCATGTCAAAACGTCTCAAAGGGTTTCACGGGTAATAAATCAGAATACGAAAGGAATGGAACCATCAGCAGGGACCCCAGGGGGCTAACACAGCTGTCAGCTCCATCATCGCTGCCTGCCTTGAGCAGCCCTAGGTCAACCTCTGCATCCACAGTAGCTGACAGGTTTCGATACCAAACCCCTCACCCTCACCCCCCACCCCCCAGTGGCTTGTCCCGACACACCTTTTGTTTTGAGATGTAAAAGCTGCGTGTTTTTTTGAGTGAAATTCTTTGTGTCTGACTTGTCATGGCTGCCAGTGGCCACAGGATGGTGCAGCACAATCATCTCACACTGAGACCACCCACCGGAGAAGAGACCCCAACAACAATAACAACTTGCATTTATTTAGTCAGCCTACAAGACCATTTGGTTTTAACAACAAGAACTAGATTGATTTGCACTCATGCAGTGCCTTTCACGTTCATAAATCCTTAATAATCCTTGCTTTTGACACAGCACCTTTCACATCGGAAGATTGTCTCAAAGCGCTTGAGACTGCGAAGTGTAGTAACTGTGTATTTACAGGTGGATATGGAGACAACATATGCACAGCCACATCTCACAAACAGTCAGCAGAGGGGATGAGAAATGGTCTCAGAAAGTGCTTCACAGAGACGGAGTGAGAGACTGAGTAGATGGAAGATAGGGGAGTGATGGGGGTTGGTGGTGGGGGGAGAAGAAGGTATTGAAATGCATAAAGAGCAGCGAGATGGAGAGGTTTAGGGAGAGAGTTGCAAAGAGCAGGACGCTGACAGTGGGGTGCGGAGCAGGCTGGAGTGAGCGGAGTGGAGTGAGGGGGCAGGGAGTAAGACAACGAGATCACAGAGGTAAGACAGCACCAGGTTGGTGGAGAATGTTTAAAGCCGGTATTGATTTGGAAGCCGCAGCTCTTAAACAACGATTTCCAGATTAAAAGTTAAGATTTTTATACAATTTTACGCAATCGTAAAGAGTAACAATAAAGTGACCAGGAGGCAATTCTCAGTTTCTGCGCCTCAGGAACAAATATATTTAATAACACAAAAAAAACACATTTATGATTCTATTTTACATTTTTTTTTATTGATCTGATGGTTTGGGGACAACCTTAAATGGCTCCAGTCAGTCAGTCTGTGCTCTTGCTCGCTCGCTCGCTGTGTGTTCTCTATCGAGCTGTCCAGTCACATAAGGGATCTGGGAGTGAGCAATGGGCCCAGTTACAGACTCAACAGGCTCTGCTCACTCAAAGCTGCTTGGAAGCAGATGGAAACTGTCCAGATCACTCGTCCATCTGTACAGCAGGCTTGAATGCAGGGACGCACTGCTCCTCTTGCCTTGGCATCGAATGCCGGGCTGGCATTAATGCTACCAGTCACGTGAGGCCCAATACACATCAGGTGCTTGTT